CGTCTCATACTCGTGCAACCCTTTTTATTTTTACATCAATCCACACAAATTCATATTCCAGCACAAACCGTGGATAGTTCTGGATACTTGAGAATGCAGGGGAAATGTTGGCACATTTCTCGCAGTCCAGGAATCTAGTATGGAATTTTACTTAAATAGAAACATGTGAGGGGATGGTGTGAAACTAAATTAGATTAGGCAGTTTTCATCTGATCCTTGTCTCAGTGAAAGCTGGTCCACAGCACAAGTGTTCATAATGTAACACTAATTACAGCTACAATGAAGGTTGGAGCGTAAAATGGTATCAATTATCATATATACCAAATCCTTGCATTTGACATAGTGTTAAAGCGTCTTAAAGCACTTTACATTGTATTTCCCTGTATTTGGAGGTGAAGGAAGCAGGCAATACATGTATAGTATTATCCGATACATTAAGTGAATGAGCAATTATCTAGGGGATTGTTGGCCAGGACACTGGGAGGAACTCCCTTTCCTTTTCAAATACTGTCATAGGATCTGCAATGTGACCTGACCAAGCAAATGCTTTAACATCTCATGCAAAGGTTCTCCCAGCACAACATCGAAGCGTCATGGGACTTGAGCTTACAACCTCCTGACCCAGATGTGAGACAACTAACCAACTGAGCAAAGCTGACACACTGTAACAGAATAATAGAAAATTCCTCACTATCAATGACTTAAATTATTGCAGGTATGTTCCACATATTCGTGTTCTGTTGCATCTCTAAAGGAGGCACGACTTGCAAATATAAGAAAAGTTTATTTTGCTAGCTTATACCAATATTTTAAATCTCACGATCTGCTTTATTCAAACCAGGTTGAATCCAAAGTTAGAAGACTTGCAGTCTACCAAATTCCTTGGCAGGATTGAAGTGATTTCACCTCTCTGGCACTGATATGCTAAAATCCAGCCAATACATGTCAGAATTCATACAATTCTGAGTATTAAACATACTTTCCATTACCCGAAAGTTAATTATCCAGAGAAGCAAATCAATGGGCACTTATTTAAGAAAGCACCACTGTGAAAAAGTGTTGGAACATTACACAACATTTGTCAACCTCCCCGTGGACCCAGTAACTAGCCATCTACCTCACACGAGAAATTGAAGGAACTCTGTCGTGTGAGATTGTCCACCCAATAAGTAAGATAGCTGACAAGAGGTAGGCATCTACACAGCCTTTGATGATAGACTGACAGATATTTCAATTATTTGAGCCAAAATGTTAGAAAAACAAACCTGACATTTCACAAGTGCCGATTTTCACTACCGATTCCATGCTCGATTCCAGTAATCCATCCTCAGGTATCATAGAATCATAGAATATTACAGCACAGAAGGAGGCCATTCAGCCTATCATGCCTGTCGCTCTCTTTGTAAGAGCTACCCACTCCCCTTCCCCGCTCTTTCCCCACACCCCTCCAAATTGTTCCTTTTCAAGTACCTATCCAATTTCCTTTTGAAAGTTGTTATTGAATCTGTTTCCACCAGCCTTTCAGGCAATGCATTCCAGAGCATAACAACTCACTGTAAAACAAATGTCTCCTCATCTCCCCTCTGGTTCTTTTGCCAATCATTTTAAATCTATGTGCCCTGTTTACTACTTGCCTGCGAGTGGAACCAGTTTTCCCTATCTACTCTATCAAAACTCCTGATAATTTTGAACACCTCTATTAAATCTCCACTTAACCTTTTCTGCTTTAAGGAGAACAATCCCAGATTTGTGGATTTTTAACTCAGCCCCAAAGAGACCCTACTTCCTCCCCTTATGAGGATCCTTTGATTTATTCACTCTTCATTTCAACAACTTGCACTTATATACGTCCCACATGCAGGGTAGCATCTCAGAGCGCTTAAATAATAATCCTTGCATTTGATAAGAGCACCTTATCACTTCGTTGAGACGTTTCAAAGCTCTTCACAGAATATACTATGAAGTGAATCGACTGTATATTTTGTGGGCTAAATAAAGGCACGTGTGGTTGTGTGCCAGCTAATATGCACTTTGCTGGGAGGGAGAAGGAAGTGAAAATGGGAGCTGTGAACAATGACCTGCTGGATTAGATTAGGCAGTTTGTGTGAAGAAATACAATACTTCAGCACAAACTTGATGGCCTGTTTCTGCTCTATGATTCTAGGAGTGAATGTCAGCCTGGCTCAGTTGATAGCACTCTCACCTCTGTTGCTCTATTCCAGATTTAGAATCAACCTCCATTTTTATGTTTGATCTTTAATTTATTTTTGTACGATGATTTTTTTCAACATTATATTACTATATATCTATAATGTTTTTGAGGTGATAATTATCACATCCACCCACCCTGTTGATATAAGAACGTGAGAATTGCTGGACGAAAGATGACCACAGTTCATCCACTTTGCCTTCCACCATCCTTAATTTCTTGACTGGCAATGCCTTGCTCTGTGCCCACCATCATTCTGGTTGGGCTCAAATCCGTTTGAAGCAGCAATTAAACGTGGAGATGTACGGATCGTAGCATTGGAGTGAGAGAGACCAGCTTAACCCATCAAACTTGTACTCTAACCAAGTCAAATGATGGGGAAGAGATCATGTATCAGAGCAGCTCAGTTGGTAGCACTCTTGCCTGAGTCAGAAGGTTGTGAGTTAGAGCCCCACATCGTGACTTGAAACTCATATTCTCTTGGCTGACACTCCCAACAATGCAATGGTGCTGAATTGTTGGAGGTGCTGTTCTTCGGATGAGACGGTACACCTGTTCAGGTGGACATTAAAGATCCCATGGCACTATTGGAAAAGAGAAGGGAATTTCTCCCAGTGCTCTGCCCGTGGATGCATCTTGATAATTCACTTAAATGAGAATCACCATACGTATGCAGGCTCTGTGAAATTAATGTCAGGTTTACACTGTGCTAACAAGTCAATCTATATTGATACATATCAAAAGCTCTCCAAATGAACTATTACAAATATACTTAAACAAAATTCCACCGATGGGAACCATTAAGCCTCTAAGTTGACATTGTTATACAAAATGGTTTGGCAAGTGATTTTTTTTGTAATGAATCAAAATCTGAAGCTCTCTATTTACAATGCGAATATTTTGCCAAAAGACTGAAATTAGGAGAGGGGCCACAAAAATAGCTGTTTCCAACTGATAGGTAAGGTTTCAAAGCCAAAAAGGAATGCTTGTTTCAGTGAAATTGTAATCTGAATGGTACATTAGTCGATTGCCTCAAGTAATCTTAGTCTTGTTAGATATCCATCGTAGGATTTTGCATATTACCAAGTACAGATGGAGGCTGCAAGCAATCCTCTCTGTGTTTGTAACTCCTTTGGCTGAGAAAACATGACTTAAAAAAATACTAAGTGGACGATTCTTGTTCCGTTTATCCATCTTTCAAAGTCCTACAGTTCAATGATGATAACTGATCAATATAAGTATTGATCAGTTATAATGATCAGTTTTGGTATTACCTCAAACTGCATTTATCGTTACTGTGCCCAAGTTTGGAATTCCAAATAGTATTGACTTTCTTTGATTAATAATATAATCCTTGCACAATAATAATATAATCCTTGCACTTGATACAGCACCTTATCACTTATTCGAGAAGACTCAAAGTGCTTCACAAAAAATATTGTAAAGTGAATTGACCGTATATTCACTTTACTGAATAATGTAGCTTAGTGGTTAGAGCATTCGCCTTGCAAGCGAGGACAGATTTGATTCCCAGGCAGGGTGAAACGTCAGGCAAGTTTCCTTACTTCACCCGCCTCAACTTACCTAAGTAGGAACCCAGTTGTTAGTCAATTGTTGGATTGCTTTTCTGGGGTTAATAATCCCTTCAAAAAGTAATAATTTGGTCACTCAATCCACGACTGTTTATGGGACACTGCCGTGCACAATTGGCTGCCACATTTTGCCAACAAAATATACATTCAACTGACTTTATAGCATATTCTGGGAAATGCTTTGAGACATTTCAAAGACACGATAAGGCGCTATATCAAATGTAAGGATTATTATTATTATTTTGTGAGAGAAACATAAAAATGTTTTAACGGCAGCTGATATTCTTCTTTAGGAAATAAGTTGCTTTGATCCTACAATCACACATCTTCAAAATCAAGCTTAACATCATTGGAACTGGAGGTACTGACAGTTGACAGACATTGACAGAAATTTAGACAGTTTGAAAAACACCTAGAAATTTTAGCACCAATGGAGAACATTCAGCCCATCACGATTGTGCTTGTACTCCTCCCTGCTGGAGTTATCTTCTCTAATCCTATTTCATCTTTCTTCATACTCTTCTAAAATATTATTTAAGCACCTATTCCTTTCAAATTATATAACTGACTTAACTTCATCAGCCACTTGTAGCAATGCACTTCACATCCCAATAATCTTTCATATATTGATATTTCTTCTTACTCTCTTTTATCTTTCAAGCAAATAATCTTGAGTTTATTAGTGTTGTTGCCAACTCCCCAACCATTTTGGGATTATTCACAATCTCAAATCATGATTTGAAACATAGGTTCCATCCGCTCTCAACATACTCCAAAGAATATAGTCCTATATAGTTAATCTTATCATAATTATTAAAACCGAGGTCCTGACTGCTTGCTCAGGTTGACATTAAAGGTCCCATAATACTATTCAAAAAGAGGAGTTTCTTGTAGTTTCCTGGTCAACAAAATCCCTCAAACAAAATTGGTCACACAATCCATGACTGTTTGTGGGACACTGCTGTGCAATCTGGGATTGCTGGGATTGTTCAATCCCAGGAATTGATTATTCTTTTATAATAAAGGCCAATTTTTCTTCTTTCTGGACCTACGAGATGCACATACTAGAGAAAAAATTGTAAAAGAAATTGATATCTTGGGCAGGATAGTTGACTGAATACTGTTAGTAAATCCCATTAAACAGATTATGTTAGAAAATGAATACAAACGGGTATTATGAAATAAATTAATTGAAACAGTTTTTCATTGTTTTCCGTTTTAATTTTGATTAGACATAGCATAATGCCATACGCCAAACGCAGTTAGTCTAAAAAAATACATTCAAAAAAATCTTTAGCAGATCATGCGCTCAACAACAGGTAATGTTCCAAAGGAACCCTGTTTGTACAACCAATCTGTACATCATTAAAACAGGAGAATTCAGATTAGCATCAAGTTTGTCTGCTTTTATAACACCCATCATCAGTGCATAAGTAGATTTTTATTATTAAAATGTTAGCACTTTATTGTACAATAAATTGTTAAGCAGATTTTGTTCAATTTTTGTCTGTACATTTTAAATAATCTTAACAGCTCCTGTTGTAGTGCATCTAGGAAGCATAAGCCTACACAATACTTTCCAGTACCATTTGCAATACAAATGGTTAATATTTGTCCTGCAATGGAAATTACCAATAGCTCAAAAGTGCACACAACTTCTTAGTTTTCCTAAGAATAGCCCCCTGTGTTGCCCATCATAAAATACTCCCCAAAAGCTCTTAGTTCTGATCTTAACTGGGACATTGACCCAGTAAATGAATATTACAAGTTGGCAAAATGTGATTAGAAAATGTTACTGTATGAAAAACATACACTGTTAAGGAACTATACACAAACTATATATACACACATTGGTTGAGGGCATGTTACTTTAATATTTGTACCCTTTTTAAAATCTGTACATCACATAGCATTCTGAAACACTGGGTGTGATCATATGATCTCTGTATTAACAGCAGACTGAGTGAACATCCAGTGCAGGATGCTTTTAGTCCATATTCATCAAATGGGAAGCATCAGCACAAACATTCACCTTTTCAGTAAAGCTGTGAAAAAAATAAATTACACAAATTCTGGCCGTGCTTGCGAGCAGTATGGACTCAGCAGTGATTTACAATATTAGAACTTCTGCTACAATGAACAGCAGAAAAGGCTACAAATGAGGTTTGCAAACTATATATAGGAAACAGATATTTCCTAAATATACATATGTGCAGAAATGACTGCTTAGCCCCTCAGGCAAATATTGCTGCAAAATAACCCAGTGTATATAACTATACTTAAATCTCTATTTTTCTTTATAACCAGGTAACCCCGGTAAGCCCGCCCGCATTTGTCTGCCTGGCATTTTACACAGACAATCGCAGTGATTGACACTTGATTTCAAGAGTGATACCCACTGAAAAAGTTACAGATCAGTTTAAAAACCAGTGGAAAATCAGAGGTAAAAGTTTACCATTTTCTGTTCAGCTGAAGATACAAGAAGCACACGTACAATACAATCTAGTTCTGACAAAATGAGTTTTGGTAGATCTGGATTTCATTTACACGATTTTTTCAACTGCGACCAAATACGGTTTCATATTCTGTTAGGATCAATTCCACTATTTGATTCTGATAGACCATGTGCACTGCAATATTGCCAGTCTCTTTCTCTGGCTTCAGAAGGGTTGGACCAAATACTATTGCAACGCTTTGAGTGGTCATTCGGTTTAGCTCACCGTTGGCAACAATCCTAGGAAGAAAGAGCAAAGCAAAGTCTCAAGCCAGCTTAAGTGTACATTCATGCTGAAATATTACACAATAGCCAAGTATTGGCCAGCACACAATTTAATTTGATCAAAGTGGCATACCTAAGAACTCAGATAATAAGATAGATAATGACTCCCATATTTCTGGTTATTTATTTTTGGTCAGCTGGGTGTCTGACACATGCGGAAACCCATCACCATGCTTAAGAGTATCCAAACCAAGCTGATTCGAATGTGCATTCTGTTCCTGGAGGAATGCATCCTGCTTATCAAATTCAGGAAAGTACATAGGTTGGCAAGAGCCAAGGCTTGGGGACCCCAGAGTGTGCATTGGGGTACTGCTGGAGTCTAACCAGCTAAAACTGCATAGCTTGCCATTGATATCATTGTCTGGCAAGATATTTCTGGTTATTGAATCTCAATATATTTTATTGACTATTTGTTGGATATAAACTGAGCCAACACAACATTGATCAGCCATTGTATATCACTAAAAGGCTTCACAGATGCCTGTAAAATATGAATTAATAAAAATTCTGTGCAAACAATTCAAAACCACACACTATTTTAACTGGAAGGCAAGCTTGATTAATTCATGCTTGCTAACTCACTTTAATAAAAGAACTGGATGTTGATGTTAAAAAAAAATGCTCAATGGAGCCTATCTGAAATGGTATGGACTAAGTGAATACAACAGTGAATACTAAGTGTATAATTGCTAAGTATATACAACACTTAGTAATAACAACAAAAATATGAATTTGGATCTAATCCAAAATTACATTTGTATAGCGCATTTTCATGTCAGAAGGACGTCCCAAGGCACTGGACAGTCAGGGATTTGGACCCAAGCTGGGGGTCAAGATCGGGGAGGGTGGAGGGCAGGGGAGGTAGCCGAAGGTGTGATCAAAGAGGAGGGTTTTGAGACGTGCCTTGAAGGAGGCAAAGGAGGGAGCGAGGCGAAGGGAAAGTGGGATGGAGTTTTGAAAGGGAAAATGTAGAAAAGGAATTTTGTAGCAGGAACAAAATCCCTTTATAGTCACAGTTCAAACACTGTTTAGCAGTGAGTTAGCACACTGTCTGTTCAACTCTGATCTGAATTCAGCTTGCAATGCTGAGATGAAAGTCTGTCTTCTGCCTAAAGAGATTTTCTTATTGTGTGAGTTTATGCATTCTTAATCTAGACACCACAAAAGGTGGTCAACATGGGAAATGGAAAAAGTCACTTTGGTGCAGATGGGGTGTTCACTTGAGATTTGGATTAGAGCAAAGTAGAAAATATTTTACTTTCCATTAAACTCAAGCCGTAGCTGACTCAGAAGTACTTCATGTGGACAATGGGTGTCCAAAAATAGTCTCTCATCTTGCTAAATGTGGGCTGGGTGGGGCGACGGGGGCAGGGGTGGGGCAATCACAGGGTGGAGGGTGGTAGGGTGAGAGGGAGGAGAGAATTTTAAAAGAATTCTTTTAAGTTATCCTAAATCTGAAAAACGAAACAGTGGTCACAACAAATGAACAATTTAGGATTAACATCAATAAGAGAAAATAAATCACCAGTTCAATTGTTGGATGTGGAAAAATGAAACCCTAAACACATTCCAATATTCAGAGCCTAATAAATTATTCTTAACAAATAGTTATTTTACACTTGGATTGTAATAAGTGTTGCAATTTACAAAATGATTAATTTTCAGGCAGAAATATAAGAAAATTATTAAAATTGTACACAATATTGCCCATTAATCTATGCACATCACAGGAACATTAATGGCAATGTGTTTGTACTTACTTGCCAAGGTGCTGGAAAAGTATTTGCATAGTGTCGTGGTTTGGTTTAGGCAACTGTCTTATTAGTTCCTTAATATCTTGAACACGCTGCTTGTAGTCTGGATTTTCTGAAAGATTTAGAAACCCAATTATTTTTAATGCCTGCAATTTAGATTTAAGTTGTGTTCTAGAATGGTACCTTGATTACTTCGAGATAATTACAAACCAACTGTTAGCCACCAATGGCTGAGGTGCGCTGGAACACTAGTGGACTGCTGGGTCTGAAGCAGATGTTAATGATAATAATCCTTGCATTTGATATAGCGACTCATCACTTTGTTGCAATATTCTCAAAGCGCTTCACGGGTTTTACTGTAAAGTCTAGTGATTTTACTGTAAAGTCAAATTGCACATAGCAATGTCCCACAAACAGCCACGAAGTGAATGATCAAGTTTATCTGGAGAGATTGTTAGCCAGGACACCAGGAGAAACTCCCTTTAGCTCCCAAATTCGCTTTTGTATCCCACTTCAACAACTGGTTGTCACGACAATTTATTACACTATTAACAGCAATAAAGGGGAACTAACCACAGTATATATTTATAACTTATTTTATATAATACTTTTTGGCTATTGACTGCACAAGCAGTTTGATTTTACAATTTACTGCCACAGTTAATTGTTGTCTTTCTTTTAAAACTGATCCAAATGCAAAGCCGGAAAGAAAAAAAGAAATGGCATTCAAAGAAAAGTAATCCAATTATTACTTTATTAGCAGTCCAAGGCTAACATTTTTATTAATTCAGACTTTCCTTTACTTCATGCATCGTTTAACCTGCATAATCCTTTCACACAGGATTTGGCTTCTACATGTCACTCGTGCACTCTACTCCACCATTGACGGCCATGCATTCAGCCACTACTCCATGAAACTCTGTAGCTCTACGCCTCAGGCCCTCTGCATTAGCCCCTCTTTGCCCATTTTCAGATCGCATCTAAAGACCTTCCTCTTTGACTGTGAGAACAGTCACCTCTCTTCTCCCATAGGCTAGGCATCAGGCCTGTTAAGCTCTCCGAGTCGCTACCCTCATGAAGGGCGCTATATAAATGCAAGTAGTTGTTGATGACTTTCTGAAGCAATTAACAACAACATTACATTTGTAATAAACACAATGAGATATACAGAGAAGGGAGAAATAAGAAAACTGATCAAAAGCAGTCAAACACCTGTCTTTTAAAAGGGTTTTTGAACATAGTGAGAGAGGAGCAAAGTGAAGAGATTTTGGAAGAGAGTTTCACAGATCATAGGCACAGTGGCCAAAGCTTAGCTACCATTGGTGAGCAAACGGAGTGAGAAACCAGAATCACAAGAGCAGAAGGCATGAAGGCATGAAGACGACTGTGTAGGCAAGGAATAGCAAGATTGTGAAGATACTTGAAGCGCGAGGATTGTAAAGTCTTCTAGCATACCAGGCACTAGACTCAATGGCAAGGATGGGAGCATTCAGCAGTTCGAGCCTGTTCCCCCATTTAATTAAGACCATGGCTGATCTGTACCTCAACTAATCCTTTCAATTCCGATTTCCCACTTTCTCCCCATATCATTTACCCTGACCTACCAAAAATCTATCACCCTCACTCTTGAAGGTGTGGATGGATCCAGCATTCATGGCCTTTTGGGGGGAGAGAATCCAATGCTTCTTGATTTCACTCGTAAATGGCCTGGTTCTAATTTTAAGATTATGCCCCTTGTTTTGGATTCCCCCACCAGAAGAAATAGCTTCTCTGTATCGACCCTATCAAATCACTTTATCATCTTAAATACCTCAATCAAATCACCCCTCAATCTTCAAAACTCAAGGAAATACAACTCAAGTTTACGCAGCCTTTCCTCGTAACTTAACCCTTTTAGGCCTGGTAACATTCTTTGAAAGATCTGTCCAACTAAGCTCACTCCACCGCTCTTACCCAAAACTCCTTCCAGATTGTATTTATTTACTCTTTAAGGAGAACAGTCCCAGACTACTCTGCCCAGCAAGTCCAAACTATTCGCATAAAAGTTGATCTTAATAGGGAAATGGTGCAACAGGAAACTATTTTAAAAATATTCAGAGTGAAAAGAAGTTTGCCTTGAGAAGCACAATCTTACTGAACCTTAAAATGACTACTGAATCTGTATTGTAATGAATCAATCAGGCCATGGGGAAAGTACCCGTGCTCTTGGTGAGCCATTGTGCTGGTGGCTGTAACTATCCTGCCTTCTTGGTTGAAGAATGAACTATGGAAGTGGAATCAAATGTGGGGAATGTGAAACTGGTAAAAACTGCAGAAAAAAACTACAGAAATTCAAGCGACTTTGACTTAATTTCAAAATGAAAGAACACGTTGAACAGAGCTTTTTGATGCTTGATATTCAATTGAGGAGTTTTTAAAATCTGGCTTTTGAACTTCATCTTTGTCCCAAATGGCATCCAAGTAATAATAATCCTTGCATTTGATATAGCGCCTTATCACGTCTTCGAGACGTTTCAAAGCGCTTCACAGAATATACTGTAAAGTGAATTGAGTGTATATTTTGTGGGTGAAACGCGGCAGCCAATTGCGCACAGCAGTGTCCCACAAACAGTAGTGGATTGAAGTGACCAATTTTTTTTTTTTTTTGAAGGAATTATACAGCTATGAAAACTTGTAATATGTTGTACTTGAACCAGTCGAGCCAGAGTAGTCATAAATTTATAAATAACATCCTCAAAATTACACTTGGAAAGAGACAAAAGGAAAGTACTGAGTTTAGCAAAGCACCACGCTGTGGGTAATCAGTGCACTGCAAGTAAATAACACGCTGGGGGAAACAGCATATAAAGACAAAATGCATAAATTTGATGTCACCTCACACTGTTAATCTACTTAATGATGAACCTCTCTTAAAATTCAGTAATTTTAAGCTAAGACTGTGCTCCTAAAGGCAACTTCTTTTGACTCTGAATATTTTTAAAAATAGTTTCCTGTTGCATCACTTCCCAATTAAGAACAACTTTTATGTAAATAATTTGGGCTGCTGGACAGACTGGTCTAGTTTCTGTGATGCTCAAACAAACACTATTACAGCAATAAAGCTATACCAGTAATAAGTAGTTCAAACATTGTAGTACTGACTTTCACAGAATGAAACAAAGCTAAATACAATTTCTTATTCTCTTCGCCAAAACTACTTGCATGTTCCCAGCAATGGTAATCTAATCTGTCTGCTGGGAGGTGCACAAGTTTCCACAAAGATTCTCCTTTTAATATTCTCTTGGCTAAGAGAAGGTGAGAAGGTAAGAATCTAGCCTCTTCTCAGTGCTTTACCACAGCAATATGGTCAAGTCTATACTTTAGATGGCATACATGCGCGAGAAGGGAACAGAGTGGTGGGGAGTGTTGGAATCGTTGGAATTTTGGCCACGATACCAGTTGAATTCACTAGTTTGGTCGGTGAGTCTGTAATTAAATGGCATCAATTTAAGATAACAACTTTGCAATTTGCAACTGCACAATTGGGATGACTCAAGGGTAACTGCACTGATTTGATTTTTTTTATAATTTTAGAACAATAAATACACATTTTCCAAGACCAGTCAGGCATTTAATATGAACTAAGTTTTTCATATTTTTATAGTATTTATAAACAAAGAATGTAGCTAATGTACCTGTCTGACATCGAGTCCTGGACGAGAGACAACTTTCTTCAGCTCAACGTGCGCAAAACTGAGGCCCTCCAGATTGGCTCGCGTCAGCACCTCCGCACCTCAGGCGCTGACAGCATCAGCATCCAAGGCTGCACTCTCCACCTCTCAAAGCCAGTCAGGAACCTCGGGGTTCTGTTCGACCCTGAGCTGTCCTTTCTTCCTCATATCCGCGCCACAACTGGCATCACCTTCCATCACCTCCAAAACATCGCCAGACTACGGCACTACCTCACCCCTCACGCTGCTGAAACTCTGGTCCATGCCTTTATCACCTCAAGGCTGAACTATGGGAACTCTCTCCTCGCCGGCCTTCCCGGCACCTCCCTCCACAAGCTGCAGGTCATTCAGAACTCTGCAGCTCGTGTACTGTCCCGCACCAGGCTTCGCGACCACATCACTCCCACCCTCGCTCACCTCCACTGGCTCCCCATCCCCCAGAGGATCGAAGTCAAGATCCTCATCCTCACCTACAAGGCCATTCACGGCCTTGCTCCCTCCTACCTCTCCGACCTACTTACCTGCCCGTACCCTCCGTTCCTCTGGCTCCGGTCTGCTCCACATCCCCCGCCCCAACCGCCCTACCATCGGTGGCCGGGCCTTCAGCCCCTAGGCTCTGGAACTCCATCCCCCAGTGCCTTCGCCGCCTCCTCCCTTTCCTCCTTCAAGGCCAGTCTCAAGACCTTTCTCTTTGACCGTGCCTTCAGCTCCCCTCTCGACTCTCTACCCCCTCCTCGCTCCCTCCCTTCCCTCCCCTCACCCTGACCATTTCCCTCCTGCTCGGGTCCCGACCCAACTGTTCAGCGCCTTGCGACGTCCTCCCGACGTGAAAGGTGCTCTATAAATGAAATCTTGTTGTTGTTGTTGTTCAACTGTATATTCTGAATGCCAGATAATCATGTTTAAAACATCACTGATTTTTACTTCCATTAAACAATTTAATTCATATAGTCTAAGCCAATACTCCAATGCAGCACTGGACAATGCACTACATTGTCGGAGGTGCTGTCCTTCGGATAAAACTCTAAAACCAAGGTCCTGTTTGTGCCTATTCAGGTAGACGCTAAAGAATCCACTGCAGTACTCGAAAAGAGAAGGGAGTTTCTCCCAGCGACCTACCCAGCAATCCCCCAGATAAAACTGATCATTCACTTTATGGCTGTTTGTGGGACATTGCGGTGTGCAAATTGGCTGCTAATTTCACCTACAAAATAAAGTCACTTTACGGTGCATCTTGTGAAACACTTTGAGAAGTCCTCCCAATGTAAAAGATGCTACATCAAATGCAAGTATTAATACTATTATTAATATTGATGACCAAATCCTGTGGTCAGCAGCAGAGTTCATTTCTTATCCCAACCAGGCCATTCGTGATATTTTTTGCCTGACTTAAAATTATGGTTAAACAGGTTACATTACATCATTTAAATTATAATTATTTTGTTTAAAAGGAACTATGAATCCTTGATTATATCTTTATCCATGACTTTGGTCTAAAAAGAATAAATGGTATAATTGTAAGTGTGAATAAGGGAGCATAAGGTATTCCGATTAAAAAGAACTAATTAAATAACAGTAATTAAATTGAAAGACAAGCCAATATAACAAAAGGAATTACTACATTATTACAGCTTAGGTGTGTCAAAATGCAGAAGCTCAAACCTGCTATAGATGTTGTCTTTTCACAATATACAATTATATACAATATACACGTAATTTGACAGTTTTTTTCCTAGTGTTTTATACCATCAGAAATTTCAGTGCATTACATTTGCAGTAGAAGTCACATTATTTATAATATTCCTATTTAAAATGGAAGAAATCACGTATCCAATTGTTCACCAGCAAGAGCAACTGAAGCTGGAGGACACACTTACAAGAGCACATTCCATCTAACCCGACAGTAAGTGACATTTACTAAACCCGTACTTTGAATCCATCATTCACAATTATAATCATGGCCAATTTGGTAATTGAGCGTGTCGTGTGCGAGTATTCTCACTGTCTCCTTGATCTATTATTAGTTTTGATTGTGTCCCTCCCTTCTGAATGCACCTTTCAACCAGTTTGTACCATTTGTGCAGAGGTACTTATATTCCTATATTCTCAAAACATTAAATACTTTTCTTCTAAAATTGGCTAGGCTTTCACAGCCATCACTGGACAATTATAACAGTTTTTCATTTAACCTTTTCAGATAATCCTCTTTTTTGTTTCCTTTATTGTCATTTTGTTACTGTCAGCTCTTTTCACTCAAATTACCGGGTACATAAGGTACTCTAAAATTCTCCTTTCATTCAGAAAGATAATGACCCTGAATTTGAGTCTCCAACATTTCAATAGGTCAGTGAGCTTCCCATCTCATTTCGACTGACTTACACTTCTATTTTCTCATCTGAAAATAGCACCTACATTATAATTACTTAAGAATCAAGATCTATTGAACGTTTCAGAAAGAGAATACATCACAACCTTCTGTGAACTGGGAAATGCATTTTTAGGATGAGATGAGAAGAATATCATTGACTTGTGGCTTCTACTTACTGATTGCATTGACAAAGTCATTAAAGAGATGATATGTGAAGAGAGGTTCTGGCAGTTCTCTGAAAAACATCTTCAGGGCTCCAGTAATTACATTAATATCCTCCCACTTGGAGTCTTTGAGGTCCAGTTTCTCATCTGTAAAGAAGATAATTCATTAGTATGTTCAGGACTGGAAGAAAACCAGCAGCTCACTGTGTATACTGCATTTCAAAGGTGTATTGTTGCAGAGGGGCAGCTTTAACCAGTAAGGAGTGGAAGAAGGCCCTTCAGGCCATTTGATCTCATTCCTTTCAGAATCCCCACACTAGTATCCTCCCATTACAGAAAGATGCAGATTCTTAAATGCTTCTAAAACTGCCAATAACTTAGCATAAGGTGGTAAACTTCTTTAGAACAGCACCAAACAACGGAAAATTCACAATGGTACAGTGAAGATCTGAAGACGGACTAAGCCACACTATTATGAGCAGATCAGAAGGTGAATTAGTATCTGACAACTCTAAACTGACCTGAGTTTCCTTGATGAGCAAAATGACAAGCAAATCATCAATTCTCCAGCATCAACACAGAGAATAGCAATATGTAGAACAGAACATTTTACTTTTTTAAACAAAAGCATCAGAAACTTTAAGTATCTCATGGTCTTAACTTTAACATTTAAGATCGTGCACATTTTAGCAAATTTTTGAACTCAATCTCAACGTGGAAGGTAGTTTTCTGCAAGCCTTTTTAAAAACTAAAAAAAGCTGACAAATAAAGGCAGACTTTTCCAAAATTTTAAGACAACGGTCTTAAGGCTAATACTATGAGAAATTTCGAGCTTAAAAAAAGCATTGCTATTCTGAAAATCATAAGCAGCTTGTGTGTGGTATTCAATTACTTTCATTGTCTGTTTACCTCTGGCCTATGTCAGAAATGTCTAATTCTGTGGTTAATTAATGATTGATGTACATTGAAAAATAAAGGTAAGCAACTTTGAAAATGAAGTCCTTCCTCCATAAAGTCTGTAGAAAAGATGCAAAATGCATGTCCTCCCCAAAAGAAGATAGTTAACATTTATGCAGTAAGAAAACAGGGATGAACATATTAATATTTTGACAATTTTGGAAGCAAAGATGATAAATATGGCGGAGATGGAAACAATGGAAACTCTATTGTGAGTATGTGGGGGGGGGGGGAGCAGAGAAGAGATAATTTCAGACATAGTTTACAACCATGGATGTTATGGTCATATCACATACATAATGTTCATATAAACTTATCTTCCAGTTTAGTGAAATTCGTCAAATAACCAGAACTATTCCAATGAATGGTGTGGACACGTTGGATAATCCATATTAATACTTTTTAAATCACTTTCTTTCCTTCTCAAGCGTAAGAACATAAAAATTTGCTGGGCGAAAGAAGACCATGGTCCACCTAGTTTGCCTTCCACCATCCTGGCAGTCGTTTGAAATGCCGTGTCCCAAACTACACACTGTATCCCATGATATTATTTTCTAGCAGAAATCTATCTAATTTGTTCTTGAAACAAATGACATTTTCTGCTTTCGCTGTCTCCCTAGGGAGCCTCTTCCATAAGTTTACTACTCGCTCACTGAGGTAGTGTTTCCGCAGATTTGTTCAGAATTTACCCCCCTTCAATCGCAGGCCGTGTCCTCTGGTTCTACTGTTCAGCACAAGATAAAATTTCAACTACTTTTATCCTACCATAAAATATTTAATACAATGCAACAATACAATATAAATTATAAATTACGCTATTTATATAGCACCTTTCAAGTCAGGAGGACATCTTACAGTGCTCAATCTGCCAGCTGCCCAACCAAGCTGGGATAAGTGACTGGGGTTGAGCAAGAAAATTCAGAGTTCAGCAGTGCACTGAGGTAGGCCATTTAAAGTGGAGTCCTGTAGCTCAGTGGTTAGAGCACTCACTTTGCAAGTGAGAGACCTGAGTTCAATTCCAGGCAGAGGGCGAAACCTTGGGCAAGTTTCCTTACTCCACACACCTAATAATAATCCCTCCAAAAAACCAAAACAATAATAAACTGGTCATTTTCAGTCTACGACTGTTTGTGGGACATTGCTGTGCGCAATTGGCTGCCGCGTTCGCCCACAAATATACAGTCAATTCACTTTACAGTGTGTTCTGTGAAGCACTTTGGGACGTCCTCCCGACGTGAAAAGCGCTATATCAAATGCAAGGATTATTATTATTAAAGAGAGCAGAGTACAATCTGTGCCTTCAAGGGAAAAGATTTATGCCAAGACTTCTTATTGTATAACAGATTCTCTCTCTCCCCACTCTTTTCCTGAATGTTCTGTTCTGATTCATGATGTAGCACAGTACCACAATTACCGAGCAACCTTCAATACTTGACCAAATGGTCAATCTTCATGTGGAAGAAGAGAAAGAAGAGACATTGAGTAGAAACGCTGGTTAAGCACATACCAAATATCTGGATGTTCACATATGAATGTTCCCATATCCTTCCACACATGTCCGATATGCAAATGGAGGTAGGGTTCGAAATACCAGCAAAAACATTTCAGTCGTGCCCACCATTAAGTGATAAAATGTAATCATGCAGCATGAATATAATAAGCTCAAACATTTGTGCACAAACTTATACGTGTGCATAATTAGATTTTTCTTTGCTAGTAGCACAAAGGTGTACTTATAACTACTGTTGTGTTAGAGTCAGATCAGAGAGAGAGAGAATGTGACAGAGAGTTTGTTTATCCATATTGGGGCAACTGTCAGTCACTATGGATAATCAGCTCTCTACTGCACAATGTAGGTCATTTCCACCTTGGACAAATAATAATCCTTGCATAGAGCCTTATCACATCGTTCAGATATCTCAAAACGTTTCACAGAATATACTGTAAAGTGAATTGACTGTATATTTTGTGGGAGAAACGACTCATGAGTTGGTCAAGTTACATCACAACCTCATACTTTATTACAACAACAACTTGCACTTATATAGCGTCCTCCAAGCAGGGTAGCATCTCAGAGCTTCTATGCTTTACCTTCTTAATTATGAAGTAAGTATATTATCATACAATTTACAATGTTCTTTCACAGAAGGAAGCCATTTGGGTCATTGTATCTGCTCTGGCTCCTTTAAAGAGCTATTTATTTATAACCATATTTGCAACACAGAAGGTCATTTGGACCTATTGTGTCTGTGGCGATTCATTGAAAGAGCATCTATTCAGTCTCATTTAGTTGCCTTTTCTCCATAACCCTGGAAGTTATTCATTTTTAAATATCTATCTGTTTCCTTTTTAAAAGCCATTCCAGATTTTGCTTCAAATTATAGACATATCAAGCATATCTTAACAGTGGCAGATTTCCAGACATTATTCCATTTGCAGTAAAGGATACTGACAGCTCTTCACCGTCAACTACCATTGGTGATCAGACTTTCGTCCTATGTGGAAGTGTGAAACATGCAGCAAAAAGTATAAGTATATTTGGCATGTGATAGATTCAAATTACAACTAATTACAACTTTGGACTGTATAATATACTACTTGTGATGCTTTGGAATCAGGCTTAAATTTTTTTTATCTGCTCCACTCTCTGGAACTCAATCCCGGAGAACCTCCAACTCGCTCCCCTTACCTCAGTCAAGTCTGTCTAAGACTGAACTCTTTGACCAGGCTTTTGGTCATCTTTCCTTTCCCCACCTCCTCGGCTCACACCTCTGGGGCTAAGCTAGGACTTTGGGATGTCCCGATGAGAAAGTTGCCATATAAATGTAAATTTATATTGTTTTTTATACATGTTGCCTTAGGAAACCCTACAGTAAAGGATTGAACTCTTGTGGAAAGAGTGAGCTGAAACATTATTAAATATTTTGATCCAAAATTAAAGAAATCTTAAAATGTACAGATGAAATACAGAAGACACAGTAATTTGTTAAATTGTCGCCACCTGGTGGTTCAGAGTATTACGTGCAAATTCTGAAAACTTTTTAAGCCTGATTCCAAAGCATCACAAGCAGTATATTATACAGTCTAAAGTTGTAATTGCTAAGTGTGAATGTAGCACATGCCAAAAATACTTATACTTTTACTGCATGTTTCACACTTCCAATAATTCAAAAAGAATGAAATGATTGAACAACTATTTCGCCCGTAAACTATACAGTATATTCTGTGAAGCGCTTTGAGAGATCTCCAAGACGTGATAAGGCACGATATCAAATGCAAGGATTATTATTATTAATTACAATTGCTACCAATATGAATAAATTGCAAATGTTAACACATGGGGTTTTATACAGATTTATGGGATTTTATACATTTAGAGACTGATTTTGAAAAAGGTCTTGAAGGAACTTCCTACAGGAAAATCTGAGAGCCAGATACACTGAGCTGCTCTCCCACCCACATCTTGTGGCTGCCTCCGAAAATCATTACTAGGGTCAGGAAACAGATCACTTACTCATTCTCAATCAGGGAATGGTGTGGTGTAGAGTGCCTTGGGACGTCCTCCCAACATGAAAGGCGCTCTATAAATTTAATTTTGTTGTTGTAGGGGATCTAATCAGAAGCGTAAATTAAGAAAAGAACCATAGGATTTCAATCCGGTATATTTTGTTGATATTCAGGATATTAATGCAACACTCTATTAGTGCCAAATGGAAATGGTTTCACAAACATTGGCTTTTTATTTGTCAAATGGCTTACCATGATTAACTGCAAATCGAAGCTTCTGTATCACAGCTAAGTTGCCACTCACTCTGTAAAGACCATCAATGTCTAAACCTGATGAGAGAAGATGAAACCATATAAAGAGAGGCACCGACACCAAGCACAAAGTCCTACTGGAGATTAGAAATGCTACAGGATAGTCACAACAAAATGTTTTCTTTTGCAAATCCACCATGATTTGGTCCTCCCACACCCACCCACATGCTGAACTCCACAGATCACAAATACCACATTATAAAAGCACAATTGTTTGAATCAGCTGTTTCCATTGGTTATTCTTCAAATAAAAATAAAGAGAAATAAAAATAGCATTTTTGGATTACCCTTCAACATTACTGCTCAACATAATAATAATAAGTGAATACTACAGAATACAGATAAATGCTATGCAAAATGTTGCTGTGAAAATTTTATTGTTCAAATTACATACCCTCTTTTTCTACATGATCAATACACATCTTCACAAATTGCGGGATAGTGGTGTTCTCTCTCTGACACAGACTGTCTAGGTTACATCCAAACACCTGATCTGTATGAATGAAAGAAATACGTAGTAAAAATCTCATTTCATTTCCAATATTAACATTGATCACATTGGGATGTTTCATTCAGATAATGGATTTTAAACTGGGATTATAAATAATTTTAACCAAAATAAATTGTGCATTAAAATGTTTTCAATAGTGCTTCTTATTGCTCAGTATAAATAATGCTCAGTTACTTAATTTTATTGAAGATACTACACTTCTTGAAAAGGCTATTAAATCAAATCTCCAGCTAAATTATAGCTCAATGCATTTGAGGTAGTAATTTTCCTACTGAGCCATCGCATTTAATCTTAGTGAAATTACAGGATTTGTATGATTTACATATGTTTCATCTTGCATTTTTCAGGCTTTTCAATATTATTCTCTTCAGGAGCCTGGGTGTCTTGTTTGACCCTGAACTGTCCTTTCTCCCCCACATCTACTGCCTACCACCACCTCCGCAATATTGCCAGACTCCACCACTGCCTCACCCCTCAGGCTGCCGAAAGCCTTAGCCACGTATTCATCATATCAAGGCTCGATTATGGAAACTCACTCCTCATCGGCCTTCCTAACTCTTCCCTTCACAAGCTGCAGATCATCCAAAACTCTGCAGCTCGTGTACTCTCGCGCACCAGGCTCCGTGACCCCATCATTCCCACCCTCGCCCGACTCCACTGGCTCCCCATCCCCCAGAGGATCAAGTTCAAGATCCTCATCCTTACTTTCAAGGCCATCCTACTTCTCTGACCTGCTGACTCCCTAACAACCTGCTCGTTGCCTCCGTTCAGCGGGCTCCGGTCCTCACCAAGTCTCCTGCCTGACCCACCCTATCATCGGTGGCCGGGCTTTCAGCCTCTCTGCCTCCACACTCTGGAACTCCATCCCACAGTCCCTTCACCTCGCTTCCTCCCTTGCCTTCTTCAAGGCCGGTCTCAAGACCATCCTCTTCGATCGTGCCTTCAGTCACTCTCCCACCTCTCTGCCTTCCCTCACCCCTACTCCACCCCTCCCCCATGTTCGGGTTCTGACCCGACTGTCCAGCGCCTTGGGACGTCCTCCCAATGTGAAAGGCGCTCTATAAATGCAATTTTGTTGTTGTTGTTTTATTTCGTCTAGAAATCATGGTTTCTCTGACCCAAAGGCACATGCTGTTTTGAGCATTTTGATTTCCAACTAATTTTTCAAATGTATTCTACACAAATGTTTGTCCACTAAGAGTAGTCTCAGTAATAAGATAGCTTCAGGTATCTATTTAATGGGAAGGAATTTTCATTTTATTAAAACATGGAATACAAAAACAAATTAGGGACTCTGGTTAAGTTGAATCTGCAGAATTCCAAACCATCAAATGTATACAGTAGTTTTACAGGGAAACCAAAATGTTCTTGAAAGTACAAATTTTAAATATTTTAGATTCATGAATAAACAACTAACACGATAAAAGGGTATATATATCACTCTACAATGTCAGACCGTGGAAGATTTCCTTTACCTTTGATGTAGCCTTTGTCTCTTACTGCTTGGAGTGTTGGTCTCCTTGTGAGAAACTTTTTCAATTTTGTTTTGGTTTTTTTTTGGTCTGCGTTTTCCATACTAAATGAAGATTTTACTTCTGAAAGACAGCAGGAAAACCCAAATGAAGTTCAAACCATAAACTAGACAAATTGCAAAATTTAAGAGATACACGTTTAAAATTTCTCCTAGAAAATAAAGATTACAATGACATGATAAGCTGGATTTCCATTTGTCGGTAATGGCAGGAGAGTACGAGCACTGGTGAGATTCAGAGTTTATCTTTACGAAGTTCAGATTTCACAACCAACTGATTTTTCCATTGTTTCTATTCGTTCTACTGATAAAGTTAATCCACTAAACTCTAATACCATCAATGCAAATTCCTCTTTTATAGAATAAGAGAATTTTACAGCACAAATACAAGGTGGCCCATCAGGTTTGCACTGGTGTTTTTTTCCCCACAGAAGTCACTTAATCCAATCCCACTGTCCTGATCTCTCCCCAAACCTTTAATACCTTCCTTCTAATTCCCTTTTAAGTGAATTTATAGATTCTGCTTCAACAACAGTAGAAAATTCCACATGCTCATTCATATAAATGAGGCAACCTCCCAGTTATTAGGCTGCCACCATCACTTGCATCGAAGGGTACTCATTTGCTGTGCATACCCAAAGCAGGAAGTGATTTCAGTGGAGAGCCAATGATTCACCCGTTGGCCATTTTAGCTGCAGATTGCTTCCGATGTCACTTCCTGCTCTGTGTAGACCTTGTAAACAGGAAGTGATACCGGCAAAATGAAGTTGGACAATTTTTTTTATAACCAGCCTGTATGCAGGAAGTGAGCTGGCTGGTTTCACACACGTGCAGTGGAAATCGCTATTGCAAGTCTTCTAATAATAATAATAATCCTTGCATTTGATATAGTGCTTTTCACGTCTTCTCGACGTCCCAAAGCGCTTCACAGAATATACTGTAAAGTGAATTGACTGTATATTTGTGGGCGAAAGTGGCAGCCAATTGCGCACAGCAATGTCCCCCAAGCAGTCATGGATTGAAAATGACCAATTTATTATTATTGTTTTTTTTTGCAGGGATTATTGTTAGGTGTGTGGAGTAAGGAAACTTGCCCAAGGTTTCGCCCTCTGCCTGGAATTGAACTCAGGTCTCTCACTTGCAAAGCGAGTGCTCTAACCACTGAGCTTCTATAGAATTGTATGGCTTCCAACCACCGCAGATTGTTTTGATCAACCCAGGCATCTAGACACATGTCATCATCATCCTTAAGAGTATTTAAACCAGATAGAATTCCACATATGTATGCCGCTTACATATTATTTTTTCAATCCCAGAGTTTGTGTTTGAGTGCCGATTAACATTATTTTTAATAATAATACCTTGCATTTGACACAGCGACATCAATTTGGTGTCAAAACACACCTACGATAAGCGCTCAGAGATGCTACCCGCATGAAGGGCACTGTGTAAATGCAAGTTGTTGATGTTGTCTCATGTTGTTGAGACATCTCAAAGTGCTTCACAGGATATAAGTGGTGTGACTGTACATTTTGTAGATAATTACACCAAAACAGTGGATGCTGGCAGAGGTTTGTATTCGATACTGACTGTGTTTTAGTAATAAAAACGTTTTTACTGGTGTACTGTTTTAAATACTAGCCTATTAATTAACATTAACTCACTGAAAATAATGATGTTCCTTATAAAACGGTGACAAACGGTGTGTGGGCAGAGACTATACTGAGAACACATTACTTTAAAGTCACTGTTTTGTCTTGAACCCTTAAAATATGAACTCTTTGAACTTGCAGGTTTATGAGAATATTATTAGTTTAAATCCGAAGATGACTTACGACGCGATTTCTTCAAGTCTTTGTTATTTTTATCCTTATCGTGCTTGTCAATTCCAGGAGACTCTGGCAAATCATCTTCAAATATTTCATCAGGCTCGGTCTGTAGTGGAATCAGTTGAGAAAACATATATTAATTTTCATACTTTTGTCAACATCAAGAGCTTATCAGAAGGCCACAGTCTAATTAAGAACAAAGGAAATTATTATCATGTACATAATAAAAGATTTTACAACAGAATGTCCAATAGGAACACACACCTGATTACCAATAGTTATTTCAAGAGCTTTATGCCATTCGGCGATGGTCGCATCATTATCCAACTGAATCAGCAACTCTGTTCCTTGACGTGTTCTGAGCTAAAACATAGATTATTTTTACCAGAAAGTTAACTATAGAAGTTAATTATACATTATTCAACACCTAGAATTGAATTATTTCAAACATTAAGCGAGTTAGTTATTCAACACCGCGAGTAATTTTGCTGCTGTGGGCTAAATGCTAATCTACTCCCTATGCACTTATAACTCACTACGTTATGAATGCAACACAATACATTTAAAATTACGTATATAGGGACACGTCTGCTACACATGGCAAACAGAGCACAATGATGGCTCTTAGCCCACAACAATAAATTCATTAAATTTTGTGGATAAAGTACCCCCCTGCCCCCCTCCACACCAGATTTCTAGTCAGTTCAGATTAGATCTAAAAGATCTAGTCTATTGATAGATGTTTAAATTATATAATTTTCTGTTAAATGTCAGAGGAGAGACATTCCCACAGGATAGGTAAGCACTACCAGCTGCTACCAAAGCATGCTGCTTGATCGTTCATTAAAAACTAGATGGATATCACCGGCTACTAAACTAGAGAATTTATTAAGTGCAAGTTTCAAAAGACTTACAGTAATTACAGTAATTACAGTAAACTGATAACTGGACGCTGGCTTAACTTGTCACTAACACCAAAGTCATTGCATTGTCAATATCCTGAATGCATTTGATGCAGTCCTATATCATGTTGTCGAAACATCTCAAAGTGCTTTACAAGACTTACAGTAAAATGTAGTAACTGGATTTGTAGGAAAACACAGCAGGCAATTTTCACTCAACAATGTCCCACAAACAGCAATGAAGCAAGTGACAATTGTATCTTTTGACAGCTATCAAGCAAATCCTACTCCTTCGACTGCATTCCAGTAGATCTCCTACGCACCCATCTGTCGCTTCTTGCCCTCCAATAGCTTTTTTTTAATCCCTTTCATTCCTCTGGCACGGTGCCCCTCCTTATCAGACCCACCATTATTACCCCCTTTCTCAAAAAAACTACTGCTGTTTGTGGGACATTGCTGTGTAAAATTGGCTGCAGCATTCCCATAAAAAATACTCAATCATTACAATTTACAGTAAATCCTGTGACGTGCTTTAGAATGTCTTCCCGACATGGAAAGCTGGGATACCAAATGCAAGGATTATTATAAACAGTCATGAAGCTAATGATGACTTTTATAATAATAATCCTTGCATTTGATACAGCAACTTTCACGTCAGGATGACAACCCAAAGAGCTTCCCAAATATACTGTAAAGTGGAGTGACTGTGTGTTTTGCGGCAGCCAATTTGTGCATAACAATGTCCCACAAACAGCCATGGAGTAAATGAACAATTTTTTTTTAATTTGGGGGATTGCTGGCATGGTCACCAGGAGGGAGAAACTCCCTTCTCTTTTTAAGTAGTGCTGTGGGATATTAAATGTCCACCTGAAGTGGAAGACAGATCCTGGTTTAATGTCTGATCCGAACCGCGGCATCTCCAACATTGAATGCACCCACTGGATATTGGACTAGTTTGTTTAAAGATGATTACACAATAAACTTCTTCCCAAAACTACAACCAAGACTTACCTCAAGTACATTCTTCTTGCTGGATTTGTCTTTTGAAGCCCATTCTATTGCCGCTCCTCTTAGATCCACAGTGAACTCTGGCTTTGATTGATTGCTGCCAAATTTCTGAAAAGTCAGCCAAAAATTATAATGATTCATTTTTTCCTCAGATTATAACTGAAAATCATAGGAAAGTAACATAAAAATGTTATTGTGCAAGCCAATGCTATTCTTTACAAAGAGGCCTAGGTTATGGCACCATCCTGACAAATTTCTGCTGAAGTACAAAGAGCCAGCATTTTAACAAACATTTGCAATGATACTGTATGGTAATACATCAGATTTTGTTTTAAATTGTTTTAGATAGAAGGATGATCACTAGCGCTGTAATTTACACAAGAGATGATGATTTATGCACTTGGTTATAAAATAATTTCCTCAAAACATTCTGGCCATTTTTGGAAATTAGGGTACATTGGAGCTGGAATCTTAAAATGAAAGATTAATGCTTATTCGAGACATTCACATTTAAAGTTTCAGTTTTTTTTAGGTTTTAAAATCTTCTCCAGTGACTCGCCTAAATTATGAACAATTCTTGGCTATGAGACTGGATGGGCAACCAAGACCAATCTTACACCAATGAATTCCCAAACTGGCTACTGTTGCATCAGGGAACAATAACTCTCCTTTCAATTTTCCAACTTCTCTCAATGGCAATGGAGAACTGCCTTGGTACTCTGTTCTTTTGTTTTCAAGGGAGAAGAGAGCAAGGCTGGCAGGATTGTTGCAGTTTTCTTCCTGCATATGTCCATCTTTTAATTGCAGAGTGAGATTAGTGGCACTCACAAAAGCCACAGCCCAAACTAACAAGCATTCTCAGCTGATGGGAGTGCTGGTTAGTTAAGGTCATTACCTTTTCATTTGCTGGGAAAAGGAAGAGATGTCATTAAGATGTAGAAAACTATGCAGTTCTGTATTAAGTATGCCTGGGAGCAGAAGCAGCAGTGTTAAAATGTAAAGGTATCTAATGTTAATTAAAGCACTTTTTAAAATAAAAACAATTTTAACATTGAAAAGATCTTGAAAATCTATACATATGCATTTAACTGGTAACTGCTGATGCCCACAGAAGTGTACAGAACAGTACCATAAAAGGCCTTAAATGTACCAGAAGCATGCAAACAAAAACGTGTAGACAAGAGATTATCTAACTAAGCACACCCAGAATTATTGCAAACTTTGAAGTGCTGATGGTAGGCAATTAGACAGAAAGACAACTTTAAAAGCTTTGCTATGCCAGCATACATGCAGAAAGAACATACAGAGGCAGCTGAAACAGTTGCACAGTTTACATAGGTGACCGCAGGCCGACGTTTGACAGCACTTTTCCATGTGGCAAGCAGCGAAAGGAGCAGCTCTGGAATTGAGCTCTGATGGTAGAATGACTTGGTGGAAAGAGGGGAGAAAAGTGATGTCACAATGAAATGCACAATAAATACAGCAGCAACAATCCTTTCTGGAAGCGTACAACTTAGTACTTTACAAAATCTATAAATATACTGTACTGCAACTATATATACACACTAAACATGGAACCATTTAATGAACTTCGATTTGCAAGCAACAGATCTGTTAGTTGCAGCTGTATGCATCAAATGTTGCATGTTCATTTGAACCATGCCATACAACGGCTCTATGGTTCAATTGCAATATCTATTTGGATATAAAGCAATTTAATGGGGTTACATTTAGTTCAGTTGTAAAAGGAAGCTCAATGTTAATAAGAGGAATGTTAATACAGGTTTAAGAAGGGAAGATCCTGTTTGTCAAACTTAACAGAATTTCAAACATTTTGAGGTGGGGTAACAGAAATGACGGGAGTGTAGAATTCTGTGCTGCAGTCAGTTGTTGGAGGCAGCAATGTTCAACTTTCAAAAAAAAGACTGGACTCACGGTTAAGAGAGAATAAAATTGAGGGATACAGGAAAAATCCAGAATATGGGACTAGGGATGGGATCGAGGAGAGGCACTTGTGTGGAGTATAAACACCAACCGGAATGGATGGCCGATTGGCCTGTTTCTAAGCTGTGCCATCTGTGAATCTATGAATGTTGAGAGACGATGCTTTCTACACTGACAGCACTATAAGATACTCAATAATTTCTAGGTGCCTGGCCTGCAACCCAGCAACTTGAGATATTTTTGTAAATATTCTGATTCACCATTAAGCCTTTTGTCTCAGTTCTAGGTTCGAATAGGGTCCTGGATATAAATTATGCTGGTCAAGACTTGCTTGAACAATTTTTGCCCTAAAATATACTTTCAATCAGAACACCAATTGAAAAAAAGCCTTTTCCTTTTTCTTTCCATGTTGCATTCTGAACAAACTGTGCTTAAACTATCTGTATAAATGCATTAAGATATGGAAACCATACATATTGAACGTGCCAAGTTTGTGGTTAATGAACTCTCACATGCAGAAAAAGAGGCTGAGTTGATAATGAGTAAAGCAACATACAGCTCTACTGTAAATCCAGAGATACTTCAGAATTCTACATATAGTTTTACAGAGTTAAACAAACTAAGTATTATATTGTAAAGTTAGTTACAACGTTAGACTTGTCAGGTGTCTTACTGTGGTGATTATGGGCGTTTGGTACAGATGTTTGGAATCAGTAAGAGCAGGAAGGGCAGCTCTGATGTAGGCTTAGTGGACAGAGCTGAGGCCTACAGATAGCTCATAGATTTCTCTCTCAAACTCATCTCTCTCCATGTATCTCTCCAAACTCGCTGAATCAGGATGCTTTGTGTCTGGTTTGATTGTCAACTTGCCTTTCTCCCTCACATCCAGTCTCTGACTAAGACAGTTGTTCTGCTCTCTTTCACCTATAAATGACCTAGCACCTTTCTATTTCACTGATTTTCTCCCTCACTATTCCTCTCCGCCTCTGCTGGGCTAACTCAAGCTTGCTAGTCCCCCGCCCCGGCCTCTTCTGTGCACCAATCTGTGGTCAAGCCTTTAGATACTATCCCCTAATCTTTGGAACTCCCTCTACCTCTCCATCTCGACCACCCCACCTCCCATCTATCTACGACATGCCTTAAAACCTACCTCTTCAACCCCACCTATGGTTAATCCTCCCCTCAGTATCCAACCCTGTCTTTGTAAAGTGCTCTGAGACATTATCCTACATTAATGTAAGGTGCTGATGTTGACTTATTTATCACTGAAAATTGTCTCAACAGTAATTTCAAAGGGCAATCTAAGATTAGAGTGTAAATACGATCGGAAACCCCATTAAATAAATGCAAACTGGGTAGCATAATCGGTACGTCAAACGGTAAATATTTTTCGTCCTCCTTTATGTAAAGATTTCACCACTGTTCTGTCTGAATAAAAATAAAATATGGAAACCCGCAAGTGAAATAACGTCTCAACATTAGCAGATTGCAGTTGTAGTCGTCCAGTCAGTCCCTCTCTCAGTCTTTCTCTCTCTGATAAATTTATAAAATACTATAGAAACACAGAATGTCGGACAATTTGAGCCGTCAAGTCTGTACAAATGGTTTTCTCGACAGCAGGCGCCTAGGCTAATTCCACTCTGCTAGTTTTTCACTAGTTACATTTATCCTTTTGCACAATGCACTACTGAAAATAGGATATCTGTTCAGACAATTCAATAACATGAATAGTGCTTAGAATTGCATAGAATGGTATGGTACCTAAACAGGACATTCAGTCCAACTAGTTTGTGCAGTTTTCTGTTATCTTTATCAGTAATGTGTAATGTCACCTTTTACATATAGCTACTATTCTTTTGTGCTGACATTTCCCATAGCCACTGCTTTTACAATACAAACACACTGCAGACCCCCACACATATTGACGATAACATCAAGAAACTATTACCCAGCCACTGCCTTGATTTTTGGCAAACAACAGCGATGACCCCTGCAACACTGTCCAAGATGATGTCCAATTCTTCCTGCAAGTGAAATTATGATTTCCATTAAAACAAGTAAGTGTTATGACAAAATAGCATTGAAATAGCCAATTAAAGTCGTCGCAATATTTTAGCCATGACATATTTTCAAAATATTGTAATTTGCCTTAAGTTACAGGCATGATTTACTACTGTTGCAACAAAAATTGTGTTCAGTGGTTTGACCAACAAGGGTGCTTATAATCAGTCAAGAATAATAAAGTCTGTAATAGTTCCCAACTCCTATAGATTGGAAATGAGGACAGCAGCATTGCTGCATTTAAATAAAGGTAATTGTTTAAATCTACACATCTCCAATTGTTTACTTCGCATAAAAACATTCCAAAGATTGATTCCAGAGGTCTGTGTGTTTTCAGTACCTTTTTGAAAGTTATTAACACTTCTATATTTAAAGAACTAAGACTCTAGAGAAGATTCTCAAATTAAGTTGGGTAATATGAAAAGCACATTGGATTTATTGTACACAGCGAGGTTAATCAGTTTCCACTGGAATGTTAGCAGTTTTAATGCCACTTTCTAACATCAAAACATTCACATTTTTTCAAATTAATCCACATCAGCCTTGAGTACTCACCTGACTTTCTTCCCATTATCAGTTATCTTTGTTACGTTAAGCAATCCATATTTTTCCTACAAATTTAATGAAAACAAGTTTTATCAAAGGTTACACATTCTATAAAAAAAATCTTTTACAAACTAGTGAATGGCTACTAACTGTTAATGATGGCTGTGGAGATTTTGGCGATAAGGGTGGCTCATTGTTGTTGTCATGGACAGGTTTGGGGCTAGTTGAAGACTCCTAAAAAAATCAAAACAAGGTGACCGTACATCTTACTTACATTATCTTTAACTTGCTAAAACAAAATCACCTCACACAAATTCATCGTATAACTTGAAACATCCACTTAAACTAAGAATAAAGTTCAAGGTTACACAGGTTGAATGTGCACACAATTGCAATTATTCCTGTGAAACTATCAGTTAGTTCAGGATGGTTCTAAAGTTAGTCAAAGGTAGGTAAGTTTTTTGAGAGATAACAGTTTTGATTGCCAACCTCCTAAAAAGCATTGAGCAAAATATTTCCATCCTGTACCAATGACACTGCAATAAACATTTATATTAAATATTCCGGCTCAGTTGCACCTTCTTTCCTCCCTTGTTCCAAAACAAAGATGCAGCATTGTAATATTCCAATATAATTTAGACTTTATTACATTTAAACAGCTAATGCTTTTTACAGCCTGAATACTTACAAGCAGTAAAAATGAAAAATATGAAATTTGATAGAATCCACAAACCATACTAATTTTCATTTGCCGGGGAACACAATGTTTCACTTAAATTGAATTTACTCCAAGCTAATTAGAAAAAAAATTATATTGTTACATACAATCACTAACACAATTCCAATTATCATGCATAGATATAGCATATACACAGTGCAATTGTCAGGCAACAGTAGACTGATTCAGAACCCACTGTATTTACTCCCAAATGCTATCTCACTTGAACATAATAGGTCTAGGGGAAAGGAGGACGGACAATATGTTCACTCTTATGACAAATGTTTGCAAATAAAATGAATGTTCTCAATGACGAACTATTCAACCTCAGACAGGAGTCACAGTTCTAAAAATCATTTTGATGTTCAACTCACTACGACTGTTAAACAGATAACATTTTTGGTTCTAAAACAGTGACAAAAATAGCCAATTGATTCATGTCGGATGCTGCGCAATAAGTTATCAACCTATCAAGAAACTCAAACTGGAATACTCATCATAGCCATTGGATTCCATCCACAATAATAAATACAGTATACTATCCTGTTTGCAACTAAATTTCAATTATGCCAAACAATGAATCAAGCAAGAATGTTCAGAATGTTAAAAAGCTCATGTGTAATATAATGCTATTTATTAGTAAAAGGTGTTTAATCTTGTTAAAACCAAATCTAATGAAAAAGTTTAAGACAAATCCATTTTTTTTCAAAAATATAAGAGGGATGTACTTTAGAAAGAAAAACACTAGATTGCTATTTCAGTAAAGTTTATATTAAACTAAGATACTAACTTGATCAGGATGCTGTGAATACAAATATGATGGCGGAGCACAGAGATGTTCAGAGGAATTGCGCTTGTGCTTTTTTGTAGTGAACTGGAAAAGCCAAACATGTTTCTTAATGGTCATTCATACAACTTTAATCTACAATGAAACTATATTAACGAAAAAAATTCAACAAAAAAAAGAACTGGGATCATTCTGAAATAAAGATATCATAGGATTGATAGATACTCCAGTAAATACTGCATTGACCGACTCCCCATTTACATTAGCTTATTGAAGTACGACAGATTACATTATTTTTAACTGATAAAGAATTTTGGCCACTGTATACTGTTGACTCCTCCATCCTTCACCATCTCTTTACCCTGCTCCACTTCTTGACCATCTTTTCTTGGTTTTACTCTTACCTATCCCAGCACCTTCACTTTGTCTCCTCCAATGGCTTCTCCCCCTGGCATAGTCATATTCTTCAGGGCTCTATCCTGGCTCCTCTCCACTTCACCATCTATATGGTGCCCATTGGTGATATCATCCATAGTTATGGGGTCTACTTCCGCATGCATGTGAATGACACCCAGCACTATTTCTCTGCTTCTACCCTCGATTCCAGGACTACTGTTGTTCTGATAATTTGCTTGTCAGACATCAAATTCTGGATGAGCTCTAACATTCTTCAGCTAAATGTCAACAACATCAAGGATCTCCAGGTTGACAGTCCGAGTCAATGCAATCTCATCTCAGGCACTGAACTCATCAATCTGTACAGATGGTCACTCCACCTCACAGCTTGAGGGGAAACATGGTATCTTGTTCAACTCTGATCTACTCAATACCTACATCTGAGCTCCCTTGCTTTGTTTTCATTCACATCTGCAACAACACCTGCCTCCACTACTACCTCATCCATGCCTTCATCACCTTCAGCCTTGAAGATATGTAAAACCCTTGTAAACACACATATCTGACTAAAATATAAATCGTCAAATCAGGTGCTTCAGAAACACTGGACAATCACGAGGATAATTTAAATCTATAGATGATTATTCCAGCAAATTTGATTACAATGACAATCAGAAGGACATGATTAACACTGAACCATTGCAACCAACCTAAAATTTTAATTAATTGTTACTTTCCACCACCATATACTAACTTTCATCAGTAAATTAGTATTAAAACTGTGAATATTTTATTTTGAGAATATAACACAACAACAATTTGCATTTATATAGCGCCCTTAACAAGGGGCAGCGTATCGGGGCACTTGAGCTATAAAGAAGTGGTCATTGAAATTGCTCATTTTCCTCCTGTTCTTGTGTTTATAAGTTTAGTGGGCTGAACAGCTTGCCCCTGTTCTTCCTAGGTTGTCTAGGAAGAATTGGAATATGAAGTGCTGGAAAAGGAAGAATGTTACACAAATTAATAAAAAGAGGCTGTGGAACTCCAGGCCAGCGAGTCTCAAAGTGGGAAACATTGAAGTGGATCTTAATGGATCCTGAAGGAGGTAATAATCCAACATCTGGAGAAATACAGCATTGTAAGAACAGTGTGGCTTTTTGGGTGGGAGATCAAATTTATTTGGAGTTGTTTTATCAGAACTTGTGGAAACGAGGAATTTGTTTCTCGTTTCCACAAGTTGAAATTGTAGAATCAGATTTTAGTAAATCTTTTCACAGTGTTATCCAGGAAATCAGTCTACAAGGATGTGGAAAGTAATGATGGAGGAGGGGAACTGAAAGAAAGCTCATAGTGGATTGGAAATTGGGTGAATAACAACAACAACAACAACAAGATTCCATTTATAAAGTGCCTTTCACGTCAGGAGGACGTCCCAAGGCGCTGCACAGTTGGGTCATGACCCGAGCAGGGGGGAAATGGTCAGGGTGAGGGGAGGGAAGGGAGGGAGCGAGGAGGGGGGAAATGGTCAGGGTGAGGGGAGGGAAGGGAGGGAGCGAGGAGTGGGAAGAGAGTCGAGAGGGGAGCTGAAGGCACGGTCAAAGAGAACTACATGTGCTTAGAACTACATCAGCCTTTAACTAGCAGGATGAGTCAGAGATGTGTTCTGCAGCCACAACTCTGGGTGGTACATAAATGATTTGGAAGTGGCAAGAAAAACGGCTTTCATGCGTCATGTGCCCAGCTCCTTGGGGCGTCCTCCCGACATGAAAGGCGCCATACAAATTTAATTTTGTTGTAACTGTTTAACAGGGACACATGTTGAGTTGAGATTGAAGTAGGCAACAGTGTGACTATAAGCTAACAGGTAATAGTCTACAGGACAACACAAGAGGGGGATTTGGGAATACTGTGGATAGATTGTCAAAACTATTAGCACACCTTGCTGGTGCAGTGAATTGAGCATTCATAAATTTGGGGTATACAAATAAAGAGATACAGCCCAACTCTCAGAAAGTGATACTGAATTTGTACAGAACATTGGTCTTGTCCCACTTGGAGTACTGTGTATGGATTTTTTTTTGCCGAATAGTTATCTAATTCCATCTTGAATTGGGTATACAGAATACCGATTTGGGAGAAACCAAATGAACCACAATGATCTTTTCCAGTATAATATATATATGAATAACATACTCCTATTCTTTCCTGGTTTGAATGACCTACATCTGTTCCCAATTGAAAAATGTAATAATATTTTATAATTTGGAGAAGAGTAAAGATTTATTTTAGAACAATCAATGTTTATTAGGAAGTTAAAAANGTGAAATTATATACAAATATGAACAAAAACAGAACACAGTCACACAGTTATCAAATGAACTTAAGAGTAGACCTGAATTTGATGGCTGTTTATTACATTGCTATTCCTGGCAGTTAATTCAAATTGTTTTAAAATTTTGATTGCATGAATTTATTGTCCTTTGTTAAATTACTCAAATGCCTGGCCAGAACTGGTGAGATGTGGGTATGGAGTTTGGTCCAGGTCAGTATGTGGGCGGCAGAGTTCTGAGTGAGCTGCATCTTTTGAATAATAATAATAATAATAATAATCCTTGCATTTGATATAGCGCTTTTCACGTCAGGAGGACGTCCCAAAGCGCTTCACAGAACACACTGTAAAGTGAATTGACTGTATATTTTGTGGGCGAACGCGGCAGCCAATTGCGCACAGCAATGTCCCACAAACAGTCGTAGATTGAAAATGACCAATTTAATTATTGTTTTGGGTTTTTTGGAGGGATTATTATTAGGCGTGTGGAGTAAGGAAACTTGCCCAAGGTTTCGCCCTGCCTGGAATTGAACTCAGGTCTCTCACTTGCAAAGCGAGTGCTCTAACCACTGTGTGAATAGTGGAGCTGGAGAGACCGGCGAGGAATGTGCTTGAGTAATCCAGGCAGGAGGTGACAAACACATGCACGAGGGTTTCGGCTGCATTTGGGGTAAGGTATGGTTGGATGCGAGCAATGTGGCGTAGGTGGAAGAAGGCGGTCCTAGTCAGGGACCGGATGTGGGAGAAGAAGGACAACTGGGGATCGAATTGGTCGCCTAGATTGCTCACTGGTTCGGTGAGTGTGAGGGAGAGCCCAGGGAGGTTGAGGAGTTTAGATCCGCAGGAGTGAAGACGTTGATGGGAGCCAAGGAGTATGGCTTCTGTCCTGTTCACATTCACCTGCAGGAAGTTTGCACTCATCCAGGCCTGATGTCTACCAGACAAGCTGATAGAACATAGGCAGACCTGGAGATGGTACTGGAGGCAAAGTAGATTTGTGTGTCATCCGCATACATGTGGAAGTTTACCCCGTGTCTGTGGATGACAACACCCAGAGGGAGTATATAAATAAGGAAGAGGACCAAGGATGGAGCCCTGGAGGTACCCCGCAGGTGACCAAGACATGATAAGATCAAATGCAAGGTTTATTATTATTAGTTTGCCTGGGATAAAAGGCTTCCATTCAACAGTGATATGAACATTCATCATAATAAACACACCACAGTGAACATATGGGGTAAGTGATCAGTACAGTTCAATCATCCCATCCTCGCCCCTTCAAACAAAAGACAAACCCCAACACAAATCAGTAAATCCAGGTACATTCCTTCACAAGAGGTGTGAGAATTTGAGGGGCATCTATGCAGAATCAATTGAGGTGTTTAAATGTAAAATAGGTATTAAAGGTAAGGCAGCAGGCAAGACAGACATATACATTGCAAATGAGCGCAATGGAGAAAAAGCAATGAAAGTAGATGAGATAAAAAGCTCATAAAATGGAGCAAGATCAACAGCTACTCTTGTTCCATTGATCCAAGTATTCCGATTACCCCAATCTTCACCAGGTTCCACTGGCTCCATCTCCCTAAGAATTCACTGACCCTCGCGTATAAAGCCCTTCACCCCCTAACCTTCCCCCCATCTCTGTGACCGTCTCCAACTCCACTCTACTACTTGCTCCCTCCACTCAGCTAATACCAGCCTGAACCACCATTGGTGATCAAGCCTTCAGCTACAACATCCCAAATCTCTGGAACTCCCTCGTTCTACCCCTCCAACTCACCTTCTCTTTAAATCCCGTCTGAAAACGTTAAGTCTTAGACTGACTTACCCTTTGCCTTGTCCCTCCTCCCTTAATAAGCACTCAGAGATATTATCCTACTGGAAGGGTACTATATACACGCAAGTTGTCGTTTAAACAATTCACTCAATTGCTGTGTAAAAAAACCCTATTATAATATCTACCTAATCCATTTTATTTTAGGGTAGGGTTTTGTGAGGTTTTTTATTTTTAAAACTCTGATTAGGTCATTCCAAAACCTCACACTAATTCCTAGTCAAAATAGCAAATAGGCAACTGCATCTCAGGCTTCTATAATGTCAGGGAAGACCAGGAGGACCTGGATGCTTGCCAGACAGAACTCACAATGGCAAGCTGTGTGCTTTTAGCTGGTTAAGCTCCAGCAGTACCACCAACACATCCTCTGGTTCTCACCAACTTGTATCCAATACTTTCCAGATTTAGGTCAACCGATGCGTCTCTCCAGAGAGAAGTCTGTCCATTTCCGGCACAGGAAGTTTCCATGGGTAGTTGGCATGTTTATGTGGGAATTCTCAGTCTGGTTTGTATTTTCATAAGCATAGTGATGGGTTTTTGCTATGTGCAACTTCAAGCATGACCAAGATTATTCAGCTAGCTACCAATTAAACTAACACATCAATTCATCTTCAACTGCAAGCTACAATTTCTTTTTCTAAATTATTTTGCTGTGCTGCAGCAAAATACAAATTCAAAGACAGCTATTAAGGAATCATTTACACTTTAAACATGTATTGAAGTACAGTATATTCCAAAAAATATGTTGCATTTTGAATTAACCAATTTGGCTAACCAATAATAGCCAACAACCTCCCTGATAAAATTGGGGACTCATTTCATGGTTGTTTGTGTGACATTGCTGTACACAAATTGGCTTTTTACAAATAAGACAGTCACTACACTTCACAGTAAAATCCTGTGAAACACTTGGGCGTTGATGACCTGATAATGCTCTCGAGTTAGGATGTAGATTATTATGGTGATAATAAAATAGTAATCTCTGTACTAACCATAGTGAATTATTTAGCAGGGTAAGCATCAATATGAGATTTCTTACCTTTTCAAGGTCCAAAGGTCCCCCTGTATATGTACTATGTCGCCAATTTGTCAGCACTAATGGCTCAGCTGGTTTTCGGTCCAAACTTCTGCTTTTACCAATAATCTCTTGCTGTTTTGCTGAGATGTTATACTAAAAAAAACATACAAGGTAAAATAATATTCAATATTTACTGAGCTACCTGTTTAATGTCTACAATGATAGTCTGCAGACTATAGTAACCCACTGTCCACTGGACTCTGGGTGTCAAATATTCGGACTTAGTGGGACTGCACCTGAAAGCGATAATTCTGAAAAAAAAGTTTCACAGACACATGCAGACTCCCACTGCCAGGGACTCTGCTTGCTCACTAACCCCTCACCATCCCCCCACCCTCTAGCTCACTAACCCCTCACCATCCCTCCACCCTCTAGCTCACTAACCCCTCACCATCCCTCCACCCTCTAGCTCACTAACCCCTCACCATCCCTCCACCCTCTAGCTCACTAACCCCTCACCATCCCTCCACCCTCTAGCTCACTAACCCCTCACCATCCCACCACCCTCTAGCTCACTAACCCCTCACCATCCCTCCACCCTCTAGCTCACTAACCCCTCACCATCCCACCACCCTCTAGCTCACTAACCCCTCACCATCCCTCCACCCTCTAGCTCACTAACCCCTCACCATCCCACCACCCTCTAGCTCACTAACCCCTCACCATCCCACCACCCTCTACCTCACTAACCCCTCACCATCCCTCCACCCTCTAGCTCACTAACCCCTCACCATCCCTCCACCCTCTAGCTCACTAACCCCTCACCATCCCTCCACCCTCTAGCTCACTAACCCCTCACCATCCCTCCACCCTCTAGCTCACTAACCCCTCACCATCCCACCACCCTCTAGCTCACTAACCCCTCACCATCCCTCCACCCTCTAGCTCACTAACCCCACCATCCCTCCACCCTCTAGCTCACTAACCCCTCACCATCCCACCACCCTCTAGCTCACTAACCCCACCATCCCTCCACCCTCTAGCTCACTAACCCCTCACCATCCCACCACCCTCTAGCTCACTAACCCCTCACCATCCCACCACCCTCTAGCTCACTAACCCCTCACCATCCCACCACCCTCTAGCTCACTAACCCCTCACCATCCCACCACCCTCTAGCTCACTAACCCCTCACCATCCCCCCACCCTCTAGCTCACTAACCCCTCACTATCCCTCCACCCTCTAGCTCACTAACCCCTCGCCATCCCCCCACCCTCTAGCTCACTAACCCCTCACCATCTCCCCACCCTCTAGCTCACTAACCCCTCACCATCCCTCCACCCTCTAGCTCACTAACCCCTCACCATCCCACCACCCTCTAGCTCACTAACCCCTCGCCATCCCCCCACCCTCTAGCTCACTAACCCCTCGCCATCCCCCACCCTCTAGCTCACTAACCCCTCACCATCTCCCCACCCTCTAGCTCACTAACCCCTCACCATCCCTCCACCCTCTAGCTCACTAACCCCTCGCCATCCCTCCACTCTCTTGATCACTATCCCCTCATCATCCTCCCACTCTGCTAGCTCACTTCCCCCTCACCATCCTCGCTGATTTTCAGTGGCCAGGGATATCAATTTTGATTTTGTTTGAATCCCTTGAGCAGAAGATAGCTTATTCAGTAACTTCCTACTCACAGGAATCGAACAATTATAATTCCGGCACCGGCATTTAGCAGCATTATTGGGCTTTGAAAAAAGCCGATAAATGCCAGTACTGACATTGTAATTACACGTAGCCAGAAATTCCAGCTCACCAGATGGGATCTCCGGAATCTAGGTAAGCGAGATGCGTCCCTCCAGGGAGAGAATGCGTATTCCATTCCAACAATCTATCCCTGGGATTTCCATGTGTAATTGAGAAGCCTTGGAATTCTCAGTTTGATTCCTCAAAGAACTCTAGAATTAAATGTTATCTATGCTGCTGTCATTACAACACATGCCTCTCTAATTTAATAATTTTATCTTGTATTATGGTTTCTGAAGTTTACCCATTGTGAATGGTAGATTAACTGGTTCACAGTTACTCAGATTATCCTTCTTGAACAGAAGCATTCCCAGGCCCTTAGAAGCGTTCAACCCTCCAGCTCTCTTGTTCTTCATATCCCCTCTTTGCCTTTCTAATTCCCTGGGGTCTATCCATCTTCACTCCATTCCATCAAAATAGATTATAACCACCTCTTAGTTTACCTATATATATTTATATATATAAAAAATATATTATATCATATATGGATAAAATTTCAAATACTAGAGCATTTAGAATAATATGGGTAAAACACACAAATAACTATAAAATAATGATTCTATTTGTATAGAATCCATGTTGCAAAAAAGATTTTTTACTGATATAAGTAAAACTCCACCTAGGTCTGAAATGTTGGGCAAGTTTCATGCCTTTATTTACCTAGCAGTAAATGAGAACCCAGTTGTTAGTCGATTGGCGGATTGCTTTTCCAGGGATAATAATTCCTTAAAAAAATAAAAATAATAAAATAAACTGGTCACTCAATCCACGACTATTTGTGTGCACAATTTATTCCAGGCAGGGCCTTCAAAAAATCCCACTTAGTGTCTCAATGTAATTCATCAGATTACTTCCACGACTCTCTCTTTTGGGAAGCGTAAAAATTTAATTGAGGCTATGTATACCCTTGGAACGTCCTCCTCACACGAAAGGTGCAATATAAACGCAATATGTTGTTATTACAAACATGGTAAATTGAGAGGATTTTGCAACCTTTCATGTTTCATGTTTCTCCCACAAAATATACAGTCAATTCACTTTACAGTATATTCTGTGAAGCGCTTTGAGAAGTCTCAAAGATGTGATCAGGCGCTACATAAAATGCAAGGATTATTATTATTATTATAAATTCAGCATGGAGACGAGTTAATTTTATTTATAAATAGCAGTGACCTCTTGTATCTGTAGTTCCTGGTGTTGTAATTGGAAGGAACTAGCCCAGTAGAGCAGAAATAGGTACCATCTGCAAACCCAACACATGGGGCAGAATTTGTTTTAAATGTTATGAAACAATCACAACTTGTCACATTTTAGTGTACATGCCTTCAGAATAGTTAAAAACTCATTTCACATGCAGTTCCATCATGGTTTGCATTGCTGCACTGGAATTCCAAAGAGCCTGTTGGAGGTAAACAGATGTGCACAAAGGAGCACAAATCCTGAACTACTGTATGGTTAAAGAAAATATTTTTATTTTACAGTATTAATAATAATAATATAATAATAATCCTTGCATTTGATATAGTGCTTTTCACGTCTTTGGCGTCTCAAAGCAAATTTAATAGCACATTACCAATGCTCAGCATGGAATATACAGATCACACAAAGTAAATCATCTTTTAAGAAAAAGTTTTGGCAAGACTTGATTCCGTCTCTTTCACAATGCATGTAGAAGGTGCAGAACAAGTTATATGAACAATATTTGCAATTGGAAATATGTCTCAAATACATGTGAAATTCTAAGCTTAAAAATAGATATTTGATTTTAAAAAATCATACTCATGGGGAAAGTAAAGGAACTGCAATAGTGAAAGTCCTTTTTGCTAGAGAAGTGTTTCTATTAAATCAATCGATAGAATTTTTTTCCCTGTTAATAGTGAAAAGAAAATGTAGAATTCACTTTGTGCCACTGGATGGCACTAGTACACAAGTGGTATAACCACTTATGGAAAAATAGTCTGTCTGAAATTACAGTCCTTTGCATTTTATCAGGGTTCAGGATAACTAGTCGTACAGAGGAAACACCTATTTTTAAGCACAAGTACCTGTGGTGCAGGCTTGGGTATGATTTGTCGATCTTGGTCATACAGTTAGAGATTAGAGGATGGAATTAGATGTTGTTTTATAGATGACACTACAACCGACCTCCGCTGAGCCATCAATTTTACTTATTTATTTGGAGATAGCTAGCACCAAAACATTGCGCAAAATATTGCATTTAGTTTCTAACATTTTTCTGTGTATGTAAATAAAATAACTTCTATTATGATTCTTGATCTTACCATCAATTCTGAACTTAAAAAGAATGCTCAGTCTCCCAGTGCTGGAGTTAAATACTTATTTTGGTCATTTGGGTGTTGACACATGCAGAAATCCATCACAATGCTTAAAAGTATCCGAACCATACAGCGTTCCCACATTTACATGTCACCTATTCTTTGGAATTTCTCTGCGACTGTAACGCAACACAAACTCCCTCCCTGGAAGGACACACATATCTTACCTAATTCAACAAAATATTCAGCACAGGAAGGCAAGAGCCAAGGCTTGGAGACTCTAGAAAGTGCTCGAGTTTAACCAATAAGAACAGCATAATATACTATACTGAGTGCTCTCTGACAGGCTTCCCCACGGCATGTCCAGCTAGGACCACTTTATATCAGTTAAGGTGTTAGCTTGCAGGGTTAACAGGAGTCAAGTGAGAAGTATTGTTGCTTCTCTAATCCCTGCCATCAAGCCAGGCTGGCTGGTCTATAATCAGCAGAACCCTGCAGATCATCTGGCTCTGAAGGCACCAGAAGGTTGATTCGCTCAGCTATTTGATAAACACCTTCAGTATGGTGCTAAAACATATTCAGGACAGTTTGTAATGCGCCAGCCACATTGACGTTTTAGAGGGTCAAGCCCAGGCTTGCTTAACAACAACTAGGAACACGAGGAAATGGTTCCAAAAAGATGATAAAATTGTGACCTACCCCAAACATATTAAAAGTGTGTAACAGCCAGATAGGATCTGGATTTAACATCTATCCAAGGACATCACTTTGATAATGCAGCTCTCCCAGTATTGCACTGGATGTCAGCTGAGGTTATAAAATGTGGGGCTCAATGATGTTGACATATTATCAGTTCAAATGTTTTCAAACATATTATCAGGGCTTAGTTTAATACCTACAAGACCTTGAATAAGATTATCTCTGCATCTCCCATTTAGAATGAACATTCACAACTTCCACTGCATGTTTCACAACTCAGGGATAATTCGAGCCACTGTGCCACCTCATATGCCAAACCATTGTTACTGTAATGTGTATGTAGTACTGGAGGTAGAGGCAGACCAGTGCCTGACAAGTTCAGCATCAAGTTCAGCATCAGTTTTTTGTAACTTTTGCTTCATCTCTTTGGCTATGTAGGACTATATTTGGGTCACTTTTTCGTGTTTTCAACACACGCTGTGTGGATCGTCTCAGTGATATATCTACAGGCATCCCTGTGTTTTGCCTGTAGACTAATAGCAATTAAGTTATAATCTCACGGTTATTCTTTCCCAATCTCATCATTTTGCATTTTTCCACATGGAATTACATTTCTGTCAACAAAACAACTCTATTTAGTCCATGTGTTTCTGTTTATTTACACCCTTTTCCCATATCATCAGCCAACTTCTAGCTCTAATTACAAATCATTTATGTACAGCATAAACACAGGCCCTGCCATGGATGCACTTTAATATCTTCTGTATAACAGATGTACATAGACGAACAGCCTATAGTTTCCCCAGATTATATACATTTTAAATAGGCATTATGTCCCCGTCCTTAAGCACACTCAGTTTCTGATGAATCCCTAAATATGCCCACCAGAGATTGGCCAATTTTATCAGCTACTTCCATGAGCCTGTGTACTGCTGCAAAGGTGTCAACTGAAGAATACAATTACACATATTAAAAAAAATTACTAAATAAGTATCCACACGAAAAAGGATGGAGAAAAACCATCACACCAATTTAATTTGAATATTTTGCATCATTATGATTTGTCTTAAGGAGAGGACTTTCCTCTTCGACTGTGCTTCCTGTCACCTCCTCCCTCCTCCAGGCTTGGCTGAGGCTCCGTCACTATTAAACGCTCTGAGACGCTGTCCCGCTTGAAGGGGGCTATATAAATGTTGTTGACAAATACTGTAACTACTCTATTCTAAAAATATTGAAACCATGCGATCCCTTTGGATCCTCATCATCATGTGATGTCATTACAAATCACAATAGAGAATACAATTCTAAAGTTACCCCTCAGCACTCAGTGCCATTCACCAACCAGATTCAGCATTATAGCCTTAGTTGTTGCTAAACTGTGGCAAACAATGCTCACCTGTGGCAATTCCCACTCAGATTTGGATCCATCTGTGCTATAGAAATATCTTCGGCCTTGATCATCAGTATGTTTCATCCACTGTGAATAAAAACACTGCGTTACAGATTTGTTCGACTCTCAATATTTTGTTCGACCTTCAACTCTCCTTAAACTTTTAATCCAGACTCCGACAAGTCCTGTTTATTGATGTCTCCAGCTTTATCTTCCACATGCTCCAGATCATTCAGAAACCTACCTTGTCCCCCACTAGGCACCTTAAGCCCATCATCCCCATCCTCACCCAGCTCAACTTCCTCCCGATCCCCCAGCCGATAGCCTATAAAATCCTCATTCTTGCCTTCAAAGGCCTCCAATGCCTTGCCCCACACTCCCTCTGTGATCTACTACCCCTACTACCCCTGTCACTCCCTCCATTTCGCCAACTCATCTGCTTCATGCCCCCATCTCATTGCCCCCCACCAAGTGGGCGCGTTTCACCAACTTTGTCTCCATCCTCAGGAATGTTTTTAAAATCCCCACTTTGCCTCCTCCTCCTTAGCTTTCAAAACGTGTCTAAAGATCTATCACTTTGACTTTCCTTAAGCCACCTTCCCATCTTCCCATAGGTAGTTTGGGCAATATGTGAATACGACCGCCAGGAAGGTGGAAGGCGAATTAGATGGACTTTCGTCTTTTCTCGTCTAACACTTCTTATGTTCTTATCTCTCTCCTTGCTCAAGCATTTTGAGATGTTCTCCTTATGTGAAAAGCGCTAAACATTATAAGGGAAAATTGTTGTTCAATCCTGTAAACAGCACAGCCTTTAAATCTTCCATGTTACAATTAACAACAACAAGATTACATTAGTATAGCGCCTTTTGCGTCGGGAGAACGTCCCAAGGCGCTGGACAGACAGTGTACAGCATTTCAGACCCGAGCTGGTGTCGGGAGGGGGGGTGGGTAGAAGGGAGGGGAGGGGAAGGGAGGTGGCCGATGGCATGGTCAATGAGGAAGGTCTTGAGGCAGGACTTGAAGGAAGCTAAGGAGGGGGCGAGGCGGAGTGACTGGGGGATGGAATTCCAGTGGTTGGGGGCAGAGTGGCTGAAGGCTCTCCCGCCAATGGTGGGGCGGGTGGGTCAGGGGAAGTGGAGCCGGCTGAGGGGAAGGGAGCGGGCGGGTTAGTAGGGGGTTAGGAGGTCGCAGAGGTAGGGTGGGGCGAGGCCATGGAGGGCTTTGTAGGTGAGGACCAGGATCTTGAACTGGATCCTCTGAAGGATAGGGAACCAATGAAATCGGGTGAGAATGGGGGAGATGGGGTCACAGAGTTTGGTGCGGGAGAGGACACGGGCTGCAGTGTTCTGGATTATCTGCAACCTGTGGAGGGAGGAGTTGGGAAGGCCGACAAGCAGGGAGTTTGCGTAGTTGAGTCTGGAAGTGATGAAGGCATGAACAAGAGTTTCAGCGGCCTGAGGGATGAGGTAATGGCGGAGTTGGACAATGTTACGGAGGTGAGGAAAGGCAGAGCGGGTCATGGCTTGGATGTGGGGAAGAAAAGACAGTTGAGGGTCGAACAAGACACCTAGTAATTAAGTACACACTGCTAAATGGACTTGCAGCTGCAGTTTTCCGTAAGTGCCCCTGACACATTTTTGTGTTTGTCAAAGCAATTCGAACGACATACAGAAGTTAGTCAGGTTAAAAAAAATTACCAGCAGTAATAGTCGCAAAAGGACTATTGTACATGTTGATCGTTTTCAGACTGTTATTTCTCTATAAGACAATGCTTGTGTTTAATGTTAGTATCTGTATCTAATGGCATGATCAGACAACGATGAATCTGCAACATCCTATAACTTGCAAGAAGCCAAACAGAATCTTTCAAGCAGGTGCAGAGCTCTTAGAACTAAACAACACAGCTTCCGGAAATGTGTCCCAATTCTGACTGTCTCCCAGTCTTAAACTTGGTCAAAATGATTATGTGACTAAATGGTTACTAAGTGCATTCATTTATACTTGCAACAGCAATCCATTTGATCTCGCCAGCCAAAGTGGCATTTCACTTAATAGAAATGGACAATCCTATTCCAATGAAACTTTTGTACATCAGTTAAAAGAGCTCCACAGAGAATTATTTTGCATTAGAAGTACAGAAAAAAGCAAACAGAGAGAGATGAAGCAATCAATTTAAGAAGCAAATCATCTTAAAAGAAGAAACCAAAGTACCTTTTCATTAGTATATTCACTGACATATAAAGTTTGGCCACGTTCATCCATTTCTTCCGACCAACCACGTGGAGGTGAATCAAACTGATTATCTGAATAACTGGAGAAAGTGCTGCGGCTGTTTTCATCTGTGATGTGATGCTGGAAGCAGTTAGAGAAGGAACATGTTCTGCTTTATGTGTCTGATTATGTAAGCTTTAAGCATTTGAGAATTGCTGAAAAAATGCAGAAGGAGACACAGATTTCCCTTTGACAGAATGTCTCCCCATAAGATTAAAAGCTGAGAAAGCAGAAATCAACAACAATCATGTCAAGAGTTGTAAAACACTATTCAAATTTAAACAGCTGTATTATATATGGTTTCCAACTCTTCTCTAACAGATTAAAATTATGCAAATAATGCGACTACATCCAAACCAGGTTTAATATATATTCACAACATCTGTTGCTAAATATACACACTATCCATTAAGAACTTCATGCAGACTGCTCCTTACTTGCTCAATTACCTCTTATTTAAATAATCTTCAATTACACTGTAGACATGGAGGAAGTGAAAGTTGAACTGGGGAACCTTGTCATAGTGCAACCAGTTGGGTCCAATATCTCACTGACCATCTTGTAAGCAAAGTGTGAAGAAATGGCCAAATTCTGGTTCAGTGTATCGCTGATGATGTCAATTCCTGTGTGCTGCATAGAATATCACTTCCTGTGCAATTTACAAATTTCAGCATCACATACTGCACACAGCAACTTTCACTTATATATAGCGCCCCTACCCAGGCGAGCACTTTCTGTGTGCTGCGTATGTACACACAGAAAAGAGAGTTAGCAGTGCAAGTGACCCGCTGATCTGTAAGCTGGACATTTGTGTGTGGAATGTTGGCTAATCAGTGCTGGTAAACAGTTGTACCATTTTCTAACCAGTCCCATATTACCAAAGGACTCAATAGCAGGGTTCCTCTCAACTACCAAGATTCATGGGCACGAATTAACACTGCTGTCACAGCTTCTAACCGATCTATATTTCACCTACAAAATAGTAATTGGACTTTACGGTATACCCTGTGCAGCGCAATGGGACGCCCTCTTGTGAAAGGTGCTATATCAAATGTAAAGATGATAAATATTAATATATGATGATGATCACCAGTTTTCTTTTCATTTCCTCCATATGATTTTGAGGTTTATCTGTCAGTTTTTCTCATGAGATGTCCTCAGACCATTTGCCAACTGTGATTTGATCCCCAGCCTCATCAACTGAGTACTAGCTGGAGCTAAGCAAATAGTCAAGTGGCACAATGTTGCCAAAAAATGCAAAATGTTCCAAACAGTGCTGTGCAAAAATCTGTAGCCCTACAGGACTATTGAACCTACGGATACTGCTTTGAAGTAGGATTTCAATATGATTTAGTATTAATAGCTGATCACACCCAGGGTTATAAGAAGTTTCAGCTATCCTGCCTGTGATACAACAGTTGAATACTAAGTGAAAATCAGTATCTAGATTCAAACATAAAGAATGTCCATTTGGGTGAGGTACCAGGAATAGTGCTAACACCAACGTCTTTGGAATCACATCCAAGTACGACACATGGCTTTAAGATAAGCGAGAACAACTAAGAGGGAAAAGATGCAGCAGTATCATGCACAATTTAGGTCAATTGTTAAACGAATGTTTGAAGGAGTGCCCTGAAGATACATTTAGAATACATCCCCCGATCTGCCAATATTTAGTGCAGATTCCGAAAACTGTCAGTCAATGAACATATTTTATAATTTCAAAAATGAATATCCTGCACACGCAAATTTAGTATGAAGTCTAATTAAACCTTGAGGTGTCAAGTTGGATCAGTTGGTAACACTTGAACCTCAAAAGATTGTGGGTTGAAGCCCCAAGTGAGGATTTGAACTCACTTTCTGTCTGACACTAGTGCAGTACTCGAGGAAGACGACTGCATTGATCATGGTCATATTTACATAATACACACACAATGACTCTGGCTTGAAGGCATCCTTCCGATTCCAAAGTTTGCCATATTCAATTTGATCTGATCAGTCTGTTCCTCAGGATTAGCCTGTCAACCACTATCATTTTGCAGCAGATTCTCTGGCAAAGCATAAGCTTCAAACCAAACACAAAGACTCCAATGCTCTCCAACACAAGTGGCCCCACTGACCCTCCAGATTGAATTTACAAATTCAACTGAGCTGAGGTGGACCGTAATTGTCTACAAATCTAAATCACGGCCACAAACAAACAGGAAAATAAAAAAGTGTACTTTAAATTCAAATGAAGTACTAGTTTAAAAACAGTAATTGATGGTTAAAGAAAATTGTGACTGAGCAATTCACATACAAATAAAAAATAAACATACCAACAATGGACTATATTCTGTGGTCTGATGCCACTCGGTAATTTTATGTTTAGGTACATGCATGCTGTTATGTATGTACTCTGTTTATTCCCTTCCTAACATTACACAAACATCCCTAAACTTCCCACAAGAAAATAAAATTCACTGTTATGTGAAATCATTTTCTGAGCCTCGAGTGTTAAAATAAATAATAATAATCCTTGCATTTGACATAGTGCCTCATCCTGTGGAGTCTTGTAGCTCAGTGGTTAGAGCACTCGCCTCGAAAGCGAGAGAGTTGGGCAAGTTTCTTTACTCCACACGCTTCTGTTTACCTAGTAGTAAGTAGGAACCCGGTTTCTAGTAGATTGGTGAATCGCTTTTCCGGGGGTAATAATTCCTTCAAAATAATAATAATAATAAATTGATCACTCAATCCGCGACTGTTTGTGGGACACTGCTATGCACAACTGGCTGCCACATATCGCCCACAAAATATACAGTCAATTCACTTTACAGTATATTCTGTACATACTTCACAGTATATACAGAATACACGCTTCACAGAATATACCATAAAGTGAACTGTGGACAAAAAAATAGTATTTTAGAGCTAGATAAATGCAACAATAAACAGCAACAGTTAGTAGGCAATGTGTGTATGAAAAAGTATAATTAGCTCATCCCTTTACTCATGGTCCAGTTTTAGGCCCTAGTAAAAAGAAATTAAAAGCAAGGGATTATAAGCATAGTTTTGCTCTATGAAGGAAATGGAGAAAAAAAGATGTTGGGATATTTGACATTTATCAAACTTTTTAAGATGATGTAGAAAACTCAAAAAATGCGCTTGTAAAAAGGTAGATTATGCAAAACGAGTACAGAAAAGAACATTTAAATTGGTATCTGACAGATAATGATAGGATAAAGTTTGGGTGTGACCCTCTACAAGAACATTTGGGTTGACAATCCTGTTCACATAACTGAGAGCAAGTATGATGTCAAGACTTTTCTAATGTCTTTTCGTGGCGATGCCCTACTTGCCTTCTCTATAAAGAGAAGTTCAGAAACAAAAGCAACAGGAAATCTACAAAGGAAACGTAAGGGTCAAGAGGAAACATTTTGGTATGGGAAGGAATTTCAATTAAACAAATGTCAGGAGCAGAGGGAGAGCAGAAGGGGAACAAGAGGAAAAATAAAGCTTGGGAAAACTATAAGTAAAAGCCTAAAAAAGATCATCTATAATTAGGTGTAAGCAGAGAAATAGACTGCATATGAAAGTCAACATGCTATGCAAAATATAAATCCCCCCAACATGATAGGTGCTATATATCAAGTAAATATGAACATAATTATGTATTGTATTGTTATTAAAATGCTCAATAATAAGTTGCACCTTAAAATATTTTTCTAACTGCAGTGTGTGTATCTGCAATAAGTAATAATAATAATTCTTGCATTTGATGTAGTGCCTTATCATGTCTTCGAGACATCTCAAAATGCTTCACAGAATATACTGTAAAGTAAATTGACTATATATTTTGTGGGCGAAAGTAAAAGAGGACTTAGAGCTAAGTGAACTTTTTTTTGTTTTACATAGTAACTTAGAAATGTATTGCTGGCAAAAGAATCATAGAATCGTACAGCACAAAAGGAGGCTATTCGGCCCATCGAGTCTGTGCCGTCTCTTTGAGAAGAACAATGTAATGTCAATCCCACTCCCCAGCCCTTTCCCCATAACCCTGCAAACACATCCTCCTTAAATACCCGTCCACCTCGTTTTTAAAAGTAGTTATCGAATTGGCCTCGACCACCCTTTCAGGCAATGCGTTCCAGATTCGAACAACTCCCTGCGTGAAAAATTTCTTCTCACCTCCCCTCGGCTTCTTTTAGATACTATTTTGAATCTGTGACCTCGAGTCACCGACACACCCACCAGTGGAAACAGTTTTTCCCTTTCTAACCTATCAAATCCCCTCATGATTTTGAAGACCTATATTAGGTCTCCTCATAATCTTTTCTGCTCCAATGAGAATAATCCTAACCTCTCTGGCCTTTCCTCATAATCAGGGTCCCTCATTCCTGGTTCCCTCCTTGTAAATCTCCTCTGTACCCTTTCCAATGCCTTAACATCCCTCCTATAGTGTGGTGCCCAGAACTGGGCGCAGTATTCTAACTGAGGCCTAACCAGTGTTTTTTATAGGTTAATCATAATCTCATGACTCTTGTACTCTATGCCCCTATTTATAAAGCCTAGTGCCCCACATGCCCTTTTTACAGCTTTATCTACCTGTCCTGCCACCTTCAAGGATTCATTTACCTGAACCCCCAGGTCTCTCTATTCTTGCACCCCCCTTAAGATTGTATTACCAGCCTATATTGCCTCCCCTCATTCTTTCTACCAAAATGCATTACCTCGCATTTCTCTACATTGAAATTCAGGCTAAGGACAATATGGTAAAATGAGTGGATTTGTCATTCTCTCTATGTCCCGTGCAAATTTAATAATGAATCATTCATAAGGAATATCTTGTGAAAAAAAGATGCCTCAGTGTTAATTTGACAAAATATTCCTAGTTTGTTCATTGTTTGCACTTATTGATGCAAAATATTAAGTTGGCCATCAATGCTTTTTTAAAAATATTACTACTTATCCTTGGGCAAGTTTCCTTACGCCACACGCCTAATAATAATCACTCAAAAAAAACAATAATAAATTGGTCACTTCAATCCACGACTGTTTGTAGGATACTGCTGTGCGCAATTGGCTGCCGCGTTTCACCCACAAATATACGGTCAATTCACTTTACAGCACATTCTGTGAAGCACTTTGAGACGTCTAGAAGACGTGAAAAGCGCTATATCAAATGCAATGATTATTATTATTCAAAGCTGGGTAGATCTGTTTACTTCAGTTTGCACTGAACATTCCAATTTTTTAAAGGTTATAATACTTGAAAAAAAGACCTAATGGTTAGCATTTAATATTTCCATTACAAACATCAAACCACACGTCAAATAATTTTGCCAATATAGGTGGTTAACTAAAATGTGTTTAAAAATCACGCCAGTGCAGGTTGTATAATAATAATAATCTCTGCATTTGATATAGTGCCTTATCTCCCTGCTTGTCAGCCTCCTCAACTCTTCCCTCCACAAGCTGCAGATCATCCACAACTCTGCACCATCTCCTGCACCAGTCTCCGTGACCCCATCACCACCACCCTCGCCCGTTTGCACATCTCCCCAGAGGAGAGTGTTCAAAATCCTCATCCTCGCCTTCAAGGTCCTCTACAGCCTTGCTCCTTCCTACCTCGCGACCTGCTGACCCCATAGCAACCTGTCCGCTCCCTCTGCTCAGTTGAGTGTCATCTATACAGCATACGATTACCACTGCAAAGTTACTCTTGAGTGTATTGACATTTACAAGGCACACAATACATATCAAAATCCATACATACCACCTAAAACTTCAAAAAAAATATTGTCCCGTCCAAAGCAAGATTTCAGCTCTGTATATGCTCTATGGTGTTGCTGATAACAATGATAAATAGTTTTCCTCTATAGATTACTAAACACGTTGGCTGACATTGGCTGTAATGTTAACAATTTTCTCAAGACACATTTCAACATTATGTTCAATTAAACACTTCTTTCTAGGGTACTTACTGCATGGTTTATTGAATCACCCTGACTACCATGTTCCTTATTAATGGAATCTCTTGTCCCCCGAGGGGGTTTCCAGCTTCTCTCCTGTGATCCCTTGTTATAATAATATGTACGTCCTGTGGCATCTTTGTGCATCTCCCAATCTCCGAGCACTTGTATGGGGCTGCTTTTGGGAACTGGGGGCAGATTCGCTTGCGACATTTTCAGATCCTGCAAGTTTGCATACACCGGCGAATCGGGTCTCGTCGGTCCTGCCGGTGAGGGCGTCTGTGAAGTGAAAGCTAATGGTTAATAACACAGCTTCAGATTTGCTTCATTTACCTGACATTTCTCATCTTTCTGAATGTATTTGACATTAGGGAAATAATAGAGCAATAGTACAACAATGACATATCACACAAATGCCAGATGTTTTTCCTGATATTGGTTTCTGGATCATCTCTCCTCTCTCATCCTCCTTTGTGGGACCACACTTTCCAAACCCAATCCTACTTGACCCATTACTTCCAATTTGTTTCTTCCAATGGCTTCTCATCTCAAATTTGCACATTCACATATGGTGTACTTTTAGGTCTCTATCCTCGGTTCCCCTTTTCCTTATCCACATGCTCTCCCTCAATGACATCAGCTGCAAACACAGGGTTAGTTAGTACATATGGTTGACGCTCATATCCACCTCTATACTTCTATTCTTGATTCCTGCCCATTGAAATTTTGACCATGTGTCACAAGTCCTGGATGAGTCCCAACTTTACTCAGCAAAAACAGGACAAGATTCTTTGTTCTAGACAAGTGCAATAAATATTTAGATGACTACGGTAGAAAACTCTCTTTCCTCCCTTGCATCTGGTCCCTGATCTCTTGGGGTTCTCACCTTTCTTCATCCTTACCACATCACCCAGCGCTATTCCAACCTCGAACCCAAATGCTGTCAAAATCCTATTAATATTCACGCCTTTGGCACCTCCAGACTCAACTTTTCAAATGTCCTAATCGTCAGCATTCCCAGCTCCCTCCTCCACAAGCTCCAGTTCATCCAAAACTCCACTGCCTGCAACTTTATCTGCACAAAGCGTTGCATGCCATCAGTCCATTGTGGTCATACTCTACTATCTTCCTACGAACTTCCTCACTCTCTCCAACAAACCCCTTCATGTCCTCACTCCACGCCTGTATGATCTTCACTAGCCTCACATTTCTGCTCAGTCCTTACATTCGGCAAATGGTTTGCTGCACGTCCCCCATTCGTTCTGACAGAGCCTTTAGCCATTTTGTCCCCTCCATCTGGACTCAACCTTTCTCAACCACACTTGATCCTCAAAAGCTGCCTAAAACCCTATCTGTTCAATCTTTTGAGCACCTCCCTCCTTTCCTGTTCATTCTTGTAGCTTTTGGAATGCAAGTGCAAACCAAGAAATAACATGACATCTTTCACTTAAGAAAACGACACAGTAGTTGGATACTACAGAATATCATACAAGCCATCTTTAGCGAAGCAAGAACTGCACAACTGCTTATACATGTGCCAACTATCTGCATGTCCACTTATCAGCATTAGGCTGACAGCACAAAGGTATGTGTTTGCATTTTTATACAGTGTACGATTAGGTACAATAAAAGGCAGAAATACTGTTAGAGAAAGTCAAAGAGAAGCAGATGGAGAAAAGGCTAAGAGTGAAAGTGACAGTAAGAGGTAGAGAGCAGCAGAGAGTGAGAGAAGAAAGGGTTGGCAGTGCAGTTCTACCGGAACAGCAAACAGCAGTTCCTAATGGCACTGTGTTTTAGTTGACTATGCAGCCGAAGATGTATTTTGCACAATGACCAATTATCTGCATTGTTTTCTTATCCACAATGGAGCTGATCCAAAACAGTGTGCATAAATCCACTTTTTACTGTAGCTATCTACAGATTTATTGCACCTGTCAGACTGAGAATGTTTGACACCATTACTTTTGTGATACTCTGTGACTGTAGAAAATTGATGATGCAATTCAGTTTCAAACTGCATCTGAGTTAAGCCAAGTATTTCCTCTTCCTCAACCTTACTTGATTTATATTTATTTGACTTTAACATAATTAGGTAGAGTGAGACAGCATGGAAAAGTGGACAACTAGTCCATGTTTATACTCCACACAAGCTCCCCACCCCTTCTATTCCCCTCAATTATACCCCTACACTCCTTTCTCCCACATGTGGGAACTCCAGGATGCTTTGTGTGCCCTGCATAAATATGTGTGTAGAAAGCGCCTCTGGCTACTCGAACTTGAGCTCAAGGAGAGGCTGGTGTCACTACATAGCAAACAGGGGGCTGAAGGGTTCATGGATCGAACGTTTCAGGAGGTGGTCACCACGCAGCCACAAAGGGTTCAGAAGGAGAGTGAATGGGTGATCACCCGGAATGGTAGGAAGAGAGGACGGGCAGTGCAGAAATCTCCTGAGAGTGTGGCACTCGCAAACCTGGTCACTGTATTGAATACCGGAGAGGGTGATGGCACCTCTGGAGAGGGGAGTCAAATTGGTGCACAGGGATACACAGGGAAAAGTAGACACGCGTTTCTGCAACCAAAGATGTGACTCTCACATGGTATGTTGCCTCCCTGGCGTCAGGGTTGATGACATCACAGAACGGGTGCAAAACATTCTTCAGGGGGAAGGGGAATATCCAGAAGTCATGGTCCATGTTGGGATCCATGACACAGGGAAAAAAAGGGCTGAGATCCTACAGGGAGAGTATCAGAAGCTAGGAAAAAAGCTAAATAGTAGGACCTCCAAGGTGGTGATCTCTGGATTACTCCCAGTGCCTCGTGCAAGTGAGTTTCAAAACAGCAGGATCAAACACATGAATGCATCTCTGGAGAAATGGTGCAGAAAGGAGGGCTTCAGGTTCCTGGCTCATTGGGACCAGTTCTGGGACATGTGGGACTTGTATAAGGTGGATGGTTACACCTGAACAGGGCTGGGACCAATGTGCTTCCAGTGAGATTAACTAGTGCTGTGGGGAAGGATTTAAACTACAACAACAACAACAAGATTGCATGTATAGAGCGCCTTTCACGACGGGAGGACGTCCCAAGGCGCTGTACAGTTGGGTCAGGACCCGAGCAGGGGAGAAATGGTCATGGTGAGGGGAGGGAAGCGAGGGAGCGAGGAGTGTGTAGAGAGTCGAGAGGGGAGCTGATGGCACGGTCAAAGAGAAAGGTCATGAGATCGGCCTTGTGGAATCCTGTAGCTCAGTGTTTATAGCACTCGCTTTGCAAGTGAGAGACCTGAGTTCAATTCCAGGCAGAGGGCGAAACCTTGGGCAAGTTTCCTTACTCCACACGCTTAATAATAATCCCTTCATAAAACCAAAAACAATGATAAAAATTGGTCATTTTCAATCTACGACTGTTTGTGGGACATTGCTGTGCGCAATTGGCTGCCGCGTTCGCACACAAATATACTCTCATTTCACTTTACAGTGTGTTCTGTGAAGCGCTTTGGGACGTCCTCCCGACGTGAAAAACGCTATATCAAATGCAAGGATTATTATTATTATTGTTGAAGGAGGAAATGGTGGAGGCAAGGCGAAGGCACTAGGGGATAGAGTTCCAAAGCCTAGGGGATGAGAGGCTGAAGGTCCGGCCACCGATGGTAGGGCGGTTGGGGCGGGGGATGTGGAGCAGACCGGAGCCAGAGGAAAAGAGGGCAGGCAGGTAGGGGGATAATAGGTCAGAGAGGTAGGAGGGAGCAAGGCCGTGAATGGATAAGGATAAGGATGGTGAGGATAAGGATCTTGAAATCGAAAACTAATTTCGAGGGGGGAAGGGAATCAAGATGTAGCATCAAAGAGGCCAAACAAGTTACATAGAGGGCTAGGAGAGACGGATAGCAATGTAATAAAGAGTAGTCCGGAAAAAGGAGGGATTAGACAGGGGAGAAATGCAAAGCAGACTCAAGTCAGTCTTGTAGGGCATGTATATAAATGCACAAAGTGTGACAAATAAAATTGGTGAGTTGCAGGCTCAAGCCACATGGGGTTATATAGTGGCAATAACGGAGATCTGACCCAAACGAGAGAGAGATAGGGAAGGAAAAAAAGGAGGGGTTGGCAATATTGATTAAAGACACGGTTAAGGCCCTGGCCGATGTATTGGAGGGTCCAAAAACAGAATCTATTTGGTTAGAGTTAAGGAGCAGAAAAGGAGCTGTTACTCTGTTAGGTGTATACTATAGATCACCAAATAGTAAGAAGGAGACAGACGAGCAAATCTGCAAGCAGATTTCAGAAAGAAGCAAAACCGATAGAGTAGTGATAATGGGAGACTTCAATTATTATAATAATAATAATCCTTGCATTTGATGTAGCGCTTTTCACGTCTTCTAGACGTACCAAAGCGCTTCACAGAATATACTGTAAAGTGAATTGACTGTATATTTGTGGGCGAACGCGGCAGCCAATTGCGCACAGCAATGTCCCACAAACGTCATGGATTGAAAATGACCAATTTATTATTGTTTTTGGTTTTGGAGGGATTATTATTAGGCGTGTGGAGTAAGAAAACTTGCCCAAGGTTTCGCCCTGCCTGGAATTGAACTCAGGTCTCTCACTTGCAAAGTGAGTGCTCTAACCACTGAGCTGACATAGACTGGCAAAATAACAGTGTAAAGGGCAAGGATTCCTGAAATGTGTGCATGATAACTTTCTGGATCAGTATGTTTCAGCCCAACGAGGAAGGAAGTAGCGTTGGATCTAGTTCTGGGGAGTGAAGTGGGGCAAGTGGAGCCGGGTTCAGTTGGAGAGCATCTGGACAACATTGATCACAACATCATTAGGTTTACAGTACTTATGGAAACAGACAAGGAATAATCAAAGGTGAAGATACTCAACTGGAAGAGGGCTAATTTCAGTGAGTTAAAAAGACACCTAGGCAAGGTGGATTGGAAAGAAAGATTGGCAGGTAAAACAGCTAACGAGCAATGGGAAACCTTCAAGGAGGAGATAGTTCGGGGACAGAACAAATACATACCCACAAGTAAGAATAGTGGGGCATCCAAACCTCCCTGGATGAATAAGGAAATTGGGATTAAAATGAAACAGAAAAAGGAGGCTTATGATAAATGTCAGGTCCAAAATACAGAAGGTAATCAAATAGAATATAGGAACTACAGAGGAGAACTGAAAAAGGAAATAAGAGGGGCAAAGAGATTATATGAGAAAAGATTAGTGAGTAACATAAAAGGGAACCCTAAGGTATTTTATAAAAGGTTAGTCAATGGTAGGGTG